ACAACACACAACACACAACACACAACACACAACACACAACACACAACACACAACACACACCACACACCACACACACACAATCAGATACATATATTGATACATATATATAAATATAATATTATATTAACATTTATTATATATTATATTATTTGATATTTATTAAAATTTATATTTTTTTTTACATTATATGATATATTATATTAAATTATTTGAAGTTATTTTATTTTATATTATATATTATTATGTTATATTATATTTGATTAAATTATTAAATGATATTAAATATTTTATTATATTATATGAAATATGATATTCTGCTATATTAATTTAAATTATATGATATATTATATTTTATTATACTATATTATATTATATTAAATTAAATTTTATTTTAGTATATGATATATTATGTTTTATTATATTATATATTTTTTGCTTATTTTATATCATATCATATTATATTTTTTATTTTGAGATTAACTATTATATTATATTATATTATTTTATATTATTTATTTATGATATATAATATTTTATTATATTATATATATATTTATTTTATACCATATTATATTAAATTATATTATATGATATTCAATATTATATTAGATTGGATTAAATTAAATTATATTATATTATATTCTATATTATTATACATTATTTTATATTATATATTATATTAGGTGATATTATATTTTATTATATTTTATTTTATTATATTTTATTATATTATATTTTGTTATATTATATTATATTTTATTATATATTATATTCTATTATGTTATTTTGTTTATTGTATTTTACTGTATTTTATTTTTGATATAAGATTATATTATATAATATTAAAAAATATTAGAATATATTTTAAATTAAATATAATATCATTTTTTACTCTATATTAAATAATATGTTTTTCAATTAATTTTTGATTATATATTATATTATTTTTTATTGTATATTTTATATTATATTTTATTGTATAAACTATTTTATTTTATTATTTATTATATTATATTATATTTTATATTATATTATTTATTGTATTGTATTATATTATTTTATATTATATTATATTATATTGTATTACATTATATTATATTATATTATATTAGATTATATTGTATTGTATTGTATTATATTGTTTTATATTATATTAATTATTGTATTGTATTATGATTTATTTTATTATATTATGTTTGAATATATTGTATTATATTATGTTATATTTTATGATAAAATATGTTTGCGTGTTGACGGATAGGTTGGTCTGGAACAAGCGAGGGACTCTCTAATACAGTTTAACATCCTGATCTTGCGTTCATATGTATATATGCTTCCTGCTCTATTTTCTGTTCTTTATATATATTTTACTTTTGATTTATTTCTGTGATGATCATTCTCATGTCGAAGGGTCCACGATCGTGATGCTGAGGTGACCGTTCGCCCGTGTGCCATTTTGGACTCAAGAAGAGATCATCACAGCCCCTGAGGAATTTTTGACCTCTTGGTTTGGCTCTGCCTTTTGTGTGGCGTGAGTTCTTAGTGTGTGGCCTGGGATTTGATCTCTTCTGTTTTTCAGTATGCCTCAATCGGCCTTTCCCCCGGCATTCCCATCGCCGTTAGCTCAGCAGCAAGCAATGGCAGCTCGTCGTGCTGCTGATCAGGTTCAGCCAGATGATTCAGCGAGTGGAGTGTCCATGGGCTCTTGGAGTGCAGCGCCAGGTGATCGACAGACACCACTGCCCAAGGCTCGCCCACCAGCTCCACCCACTACTGTTCCTGAAGGTGGCGAAGGACCATCGGTTTGGGATCAGCCAAGTGACGATGACGTTCCCCCTGTTGATGGGTCCTACTTTGGGCAGCCTGTTCAGCAACCAGGTCAAGCTGCCAGCAGCGGTTATGTGCCCACTGGGGCTGGCTCTGCGCCTGCCACTCAGGCAGCCAAGAATCTGCTCGGTGACCAGCTCCAGCAAAATACCAAGCTGGCCAAGCAGAAAGAGAGGGCCAAAGCTCGTGGCCACAAGCGCGTCCGTTGGGGGCAAATGCCTGTGTCTGGGGCGCTCAATCCTCAGAATTTCCAGCTGCCACCGTTTATTCAGCAGCTCGGTTCAGGACAAGGTGAAAGATCAATCCTCATTGTGGACAACCGTGATGGTAGGATCACTAGTCCCTTCCAGGGTTGGTTGCTCGACGAGATCTTGCTGAACGCGCAATCCAGGATCAACATCCTCTCGGATCGCCAGTTGCTGCGATCGCCAAGTGTGGGCTACCACATGAACCTGTTCTATGTGCGAGCTATGGATGGCTACAAGCTCATCGTGGTGGGCTCGATGACCAGCTATGAGAGTGTCCCATGTGCTAATTGGGACGCTGAGACTGGTGAGGTCATGTCGCATTCAGCCTTCCAGCCTTTTCGCTGGCCGCTCATGAGGAATGACTCGTCGATTTGGGTCGACGTCAAGCTGAAGATCGAGGGCCAGTTGCTCTTGCACTTGGAGCTCCGTGGTTACAGATCGGTGCAGGACATGTCGGTGCAGCTCAACTACATCAATGACGGGCTCGTCACCTCCCTCAAGGAGATCCTGTTCGTGCCTGCGGTCGTCGTGACGGTCTTCTCTGGATGGAGAGTTGTGGCGGTCAGTTTTGAGGTGGGTGGTCGGATCTATGTGTGCTCTGACAAGGGCGTAGTGGTAGCTCTCGACTACCCCCTCTGCCATTTCGAGATTCGCATGACAGCTTTGTCATCTGTGGACGCGATCGGGATGGATGCAGACCGTCTTGAGTTCAGGTTCAGATCAGCTGGAGATCAGCTGGACGTGGCATGCTCACAGCTCAACGTGCCAACGACATGGCTCACGCTCTCTCGAGTGTCGGGGCCGATGCTTATCCAGAATGCTCGTTGGTGCCGTGAGAGGAATGCTCGTGTAGAAGGACCGGACCAAACAATGCAGATGTCCCAGCTCGCGGGCATTCACGCCCACTGGACTGCTGCCACAGAGGCCACATCAGTGGCTGACACAGGTCCAAGGGTGGGGGCAGTGGCGGTCGACAGTCACCACAGCAACCTCCACCTGACCTGTGAGTCGCCATTGTTCCAGGCCGAGAAGGCGATCGTACCGCCCGAGGCCATTGCTCTTCAGTGCCATGACCCGGACCAGGAGAAACAGGCCATCATTGTTCCACCAGTTCTGGGTGGGCCGGCTGCTGTGGAGTTCAAAGATGCCCCAGGGGCCTTGAAAGCTCTGGTGGGGCCAGCTGCAGCTCCAGTGCAAGCCGCGCCTTTGGTGGAGACCGTGATCTCGGTCACAGAAGCAGGGCAAGCTCCACGACCTGCAGCTCCAGGTGAAATGACTGTTCATGTGCAACGTCGTTCATTGGAGTCCAGGTTGAGCGAGTCGTTGGCAGAAGCCGCAGTGACTCCTCAGAACTTTGTGGAGCAGGTTCGGCGAGCGGCTCAGGGCTGTGCGCCTGGAGGCTCAACCACCTCTGTGCCGCGCTCTTTTGGCCCAGAGCCAGTGATCGAAGAGGCTGATGAAGTGTAGCATATTTTCATTTTATTTTGGTTCAATTGATTTGCTCAGAGCTTTCCAGCAGCGGAAGCCGAAATTGCTCGAGTAGCCACAATACTTGCCTGGTATCCAGGCCGCAGCGTGCGAAAAATGAGTGTTGGCAGGTCTTGTGTCGTGAGTTCTCTGATTGCGTATCTTGATCAGAGGGTTGACGCCTGCGCCGCACTCCCCAGCTTTTGTTTTGGGTGTTCACCCTGACTGCCCTTTTCTGGGATTGACTGGCACCTTGCTCAGGCGCTCACCTCAGAAGGGTTGCGGGATCTCAGATCGAGCATGAGTCGGAGCGACAGAGTCGTGAAAACGGTCAGTCATCCGGCTCCGCTTGATCTCAATTTATATGATATCGACGGTATTTTTCAATTGATTTGACATGTCTTGAGGTTGTGGGTTAGGTCGGGAGGTTTTCATCTGGTTCATACCTGCTGCATACATCCCATACCTCATGTTGTTCGTTTACCCTGGGGACATTGATGTTCTCTGGCATTGCTCAATTTCCAGGGATTCAGTTGTGTGCATGAGACATCGCTACAGCCCGGCTCAGGTGATCACCTCAGGGGCAGGGCTGTGGGATCTCAGCACTGGATTGAGTGAGAGCGACAGACCAGGTCTTTTCTGGTCAGTCATCTCGTTCTTTCACGCCGACGTGGCGGTTTTAGTTATTGATCAATAGGTAGTTTAGATGTATAACCTCCTAAATTACCTTTGATCGTTTATGTACATGTTAGGATTCATGTTCACTGTTTGCTGCACGCCAGTTCGATCATGGCTCAGAGTGGCAACAGATGGGCGTGCAAGATCCTCTCACTTCCGATTTTTGATGATGCCTTTGCCAAGGCTGTGCAGGGCTCTCCATTTGCCAACCTGGCGTTCGTAGCCGCTATGGAGGTTACGTCGGCTCACGAATTTGTGGCCAAGGTCACGGAGTGGGCCCCCCACTTGGATGAGGGCATTAGAGGTGATTTGCTGGGCTCGTCTTTTATGCTAGAGCATTTTTGGTCTTTGGCATGCTCAGTGGAACGAGCGTTTTTCGAGTCAACTGCAAATCAGCTAGGGTTTGGGTTGTGCGAGGTACCAGATGTGCCCATCAGCTCGGAATCGGCTAAAGCTCGTCGGGCGGGGGCAATCAAGGCTCTATCTGGGCGACCTCTCAACCCCCCTAGGAAGTTGCTCAAGACTAGCTCTGAGTCAGCGTCAGCCACTCCGTTGCTCGATCAGGAGAATGCGGCGAGGTGGAAGTGGGCAGCTCGGCTGGAGGAGATCGGCAAGAAAGCTGGCACCTTCTCTAAGTTGCTGCTCGACACAGCCAATGAGTCGGGGCTCTCCCATGCTGAAGTGGCTCGTTTGCGCCAGTTGGTGTTATCGTCTGGTGCTCCTAGGACGATGGCGACTCATGTCACCAACTGGGAGCGGTTCGCAGACTGGGCAACGGCAAAGGGCATTGAAGTTTTTCCTTTAACCTCCAATAAGCTCATTCAGTATGCTCTTCATTTAGATAGTCTTGAATGTGGCCCTTCTGTTATCCCTACTTTTAGAACTTCGGTCAAGTGGGTAACCTCTAAGTTGGCCATTGATTGCCCTGACATTGATCATCAAGGGCTCTTGGCGCTCCAAGCAGAGGTCATCGGGAAGCGAGCTCGCACCCTGAAGGAGGCGGTTCCTATACCCACCCCGGTGGTGCGGGCACTGGAGCTCTTCGTGGTTGATGAAGGGGAGCCCGAGGCTATCAGGCTCTTTACATGGTGGTGGCTCTGTATGGTCTTCGCATCACTTCGTTTTGACGATGCGATGCATGTTCGCCCAGATGAGCTCATCTTGAACGAGGAAGGGCTCTTTGGCGTTGCATGGCAGACCAAGGTGGAGCGCAAGAGACGGGGCACCAAGTTCGTAGTCCCCCATGTAGGTTTTTCTGGGTCAGATTGGCTTCGTTCTGGATGGGAGCTCTTACAAAGTGAACACTCTGGTTTAGCTCGCGATTTCTGGATGAGGGATCTGAACTCTAGAGATGCGTTCAGGGATGCACCGGCGACTTATCAACGCTCTGTGCAATGGCTCCGCTTCATTGGAAGGTTTGCTCTCAACCACTATCATACTGGCCAGGAGGAAGAGTTCAAGGAGTTGGCAAGCGTGGTCAACAGTTTGACGGCGCACTCAGCTCGAGTGACAATGCTCGATGCAGCAGTGCATGCAGGGCGTAGCACAGAGGAGATCGGCCTGCAGGCCAATTGGAAGAACCCAGGACCGCTCGTCCTCAAGTATACCCGCAACCGCTCAGCTATTCCAGCCAAGATGGTCCAGCAGTTGGTCAAAGACATGCTCGTGCAGGAGCACCCAGTCGAAGAGTCAGAAGACGTGGAGCTGGATTCGGAGGATCCGTCCGCCTTTGACCAGATCCAGTTCTTTGTGAAGGCCAACGGTTCGGCCACCTATGACTATCGATACCACTGCACGGCACCTGACAACGAGGAGGCCATTGCTTGCGGGCGCATCTTGAAGGATGACTGCACCCATGTAGGGTCGTGTTTGCCCGATGCATCCGTGCTGTGCAAGCATTGCTCGCGCGCTCGTCCAGAAGTGCTCGAGGCATATCACCGCAGCCAACGTGCTCGGCCCCTTGGTTGCAGGTAAGGTCGCAGTGATTGAGCCCACGTGTGTGTGTCGGTTCTGTCCTGCTGTCTGCCTGTGGGAACTACTTGCAATTTTTCTGTTTGTGTGATATTTTCAGTTTTTCAGCTCACCTAGCTTCATTTCCTGCGCTCGCCCCATCATGGTGGACCGCACGGTCTATGATGCAGACAAGACCCCTGACCTGCCATTGCGGCAAGTGCTCGGGCGACAGCGGGTGGCACCTGATCTGTGCAAGTTAGCGGCCAATGCTGGACTGCTCACAGTGGAGACCTTTGCTATGCTCGGAGACGACATTGCCTCGGTCAAGGCGACTCTCAAGAGCTTGGTCCCGGATGTCACCTCCTTTGGCACAGATGGACCTGCTCAGGAATTGGCATTGACCTCCTTGGCTGCAGTGTGGAAGACGTGCAGTACCATGCAAGATCATTTTGCCGCTCGGCGGGCCAAGATGGAAGAGGATCCGTCAAAAGTGCCGGAGATCCCTGGAGAAGACCATGCCGAGTTCCGCGAGACCTTCGTCAATCGCCACCCTGACGTTCTTTTGCCCCTCCATCGGGAGCCACACCGCAAGTTCGTCGAGCGCGTCCAGCGAGACTACCTGGTGCATGGTTTTGTTCATTTTTACGAGGTGGGGGAAATCCGCACCCGGAATGAGCAGATCGCCCAGAAGTCTGGCCTTTCCAAAAATGCGGAAGACCTGCTGCGAGTGGTCATGATCGACCAACCAGCCGCGGCCAGTTCAGAGTCTCAGGTCATGGACAAGCTCCACGCCTTCTTCATCACGCTCGAGTACCTGAACATTTGCGAGTTCACAGTCCAGGCGGGCCCTTTGAAGTACCTGGCTCAGCTCGAGGAGTGGCGGCATGAGAATCGCGGCCTTGCCCTTTTACTGGCAGTAGATGCTTTGATTCGCAAGAAGGTTCACCGGGTGAGCTCTGATCAGCGGAAGCAGTTCACTACGTTCTCCGCGGCGCTCCTGGAGGTGCTCACCAACCACAAGCAATTGTGGAACGATGCTCGCTCCAGTGCCGAGCTCGACAAGTTCAAGCAGGCAACTTTGACACCAGCTCCGGTGACACCCAAGAAGCGACCTCGCTCAGGCTCACCTGACCCCCCTGCCTCCACCGCCGAAGCCAAGAAGAACAAAGCCCGCCGAGCTCGTCAGAAGAACCAGCTCCAGAAAGCCAAGGCCGTGCTTGCTGGGACCACTCCTCCAGCGAAGGACGGGGCTTGCAAGCCTGCTCGTGATGAACGGGTCCCGGCCAAAGAATGGCAGACAATTACTTCGTTCAAATATTCTGGTGGGCGTCGTTGTCCTTTCTACAACAGTTCGCTTGGTTGTCGTTTTGGTGATCAGTGCAAGCTCAAGCATAGCTGTGCCGAGTGTGGAAAAGACCACCCTTGGCATGGCAATCACTGAGACCGCAGCAGCAGCCCCCAGGATGGTCTCTCGCCGCCTCCTGGGGATTGGTCAGGTGAGGCTGGCACCGCGAATGATGGTCCGGCTGCCTTGGCGGCCGATCGGACAGCGTTGCTGGGAGGGCAGCTCCATTGGCCAGACTGGGATCAGGTTTTGTCTGATCGGACGGTCTTGGGCCGCTCGGGGCCTTTCTTCCTGGAGCTGTTCGCAGGTGAAGCGGGGATCTCCGATGCAGTGTTTGCGGCAGGAGTTCCTGTTCTACCTCCTGTAGATGTGGTGCCTTCGGCTCGGGTGACAACCCCGCGCGACTTGCTCGATGCCCTCTTTTGGCAGAAGATTTTGGAAGTGATCACCTTAGGTTTGGTTTTCTTTTTACATTGCAGCACGCCGTGCAACACTTTTACGGCTGCTCGCAAGCTTGATGGCGGCCCACCCCCGCTGAATTTGTCCGAGGCTGATCGCATGCTCGTTTTTCTGGGCAACTTAATTTTTGGAGCGCACGGTGGAGGCCTGCTACCTGGTTTTCATTTTGGGAGGCGACTTCATGATCGAGAACCCTCTGCTCAGTTTGTTATGGGAAACAGAGCTCCTTCGTCAGCTCGTGCGCCAAACTGGCATTCGCTTTGGATTGTGATCAGTGCGCTTTTGGTACACCCTGGATGAAGCCTACCCGCTTTGTGTGCTCTACGCAGCTGCTGGACGTTCTGTGCATTCGGTGCCCTGGCACCCACAAACACGAGAAGCTCAAGGGCAAGGTGTGGGATCCAGTGCAGCAGCGACTGGTGTTCAAGACCAAGCAAGCTCAGGTGTATCCTTTCGTGCTCTGCGCTAGTGTCGCGGCACAGGTGTGCCACATCTTTTTGCAGGATTTTGTGCACTTGCAGCCGTCGTTTGGGCTCACTACCCCGAGCGGGGACCGCAAGCGTGCACTTGGTTCTGGCAAGCCGTGGGTTCGGCACCGGCAGGCCACGACGGCACAGAAAGCTCTTCAAGCGGGCTATCAGCTGAAACGTGGCGCTTGCAAGCCTTTGCATGAGGTGGAAATGGAGCCTGGCGAGGCGATCGCTTTTGCTCTTCGCCAAGTTCATCCTTTTAGCCGTGCTGCGACTTTGCCACTGCCGCTGCAGGCGGCCATCCAGCAGGTGACAGCCGATCCGGCGCAGGTGGTTTTGTGGCGCGAGCGTGCTCTTTGTTTTTGGCATGCTCGTGCTCTGGCATTGTTGCCCAAGTCCATCGAGCTCATCATGGCCCAACCTGATGCGGCTCTTCGCCGTCTGTTGTTGGGCGCTGCTCATCCTAAACATGCTCGGTTGGGAGAAGTGTGTCATGTTGCCCTCTATGCAGAGATGCTCGAGGCCATTGGCTCGGTGGACACCCATTTGCCGTCGCTTTTGCTGACCGGCTTCCCAATCGTCGGGCCTATTCAGGCCACCGGGCGATGGCCTGCCTATGATAAGCCTCAGAAAGTTCTTCCGGTCCAACATGCTCTTGACAGGGCCTGGGAGATCCGGGCAAAGATTGTTCAGCGTGTGAGAGGTGTTCCAGTCACGGAAAATTTACAGAAGCTCTGGGACGCGACTTTGGAAGATGTTGGCGAAGGCTCTTGCCTAGGTCCTTTTGTCTCTGAAGCTGAGGTTACGACGGTGCTCCAGCAGGATGATTGGATCCCCACTCAGCGGTTCGAAGTAGTGCAAAAGAACAAGGTCAGAGGTTGTGATAGTGCCACAACCAATTTGATCAACCAGATCACCGAGATCACGGAGAAGTTACAACTGCCTTCAACGGACTCGAATGTTGCTGCTCTCCGGTCGCTCATTACTGCTGCTCCAGAGCGTGATTTGCAAGGCTGGGTGCTCGATGAGAGAAAAGCATACAGGCAGATTGCAGTGAGACCAGATCAGCGGAAATTCTCTGTTATTTGCCTCAAGTCCCCGTGCTCGGGCAATCCAGAGTTCTTTGTGATGGTTGGCCACTCTTTTGGGCTCGTGTCTGCAGTCTACAACTATAACAGGAGATCGGCGGCGATCAATGAGATCCTAGTCTCCTTGTTCAAACTGGTCGCTTTCAGCTTCTACGATGACAAGTATGGCTTTGAGCCTGCAGTTTCGGCTCCCAGTGCTCGGCGTGTGGCAGAGTCCGTCCACTGGTGGCTAGGCGCTCGCTTTGATCAAAAGAAACTGCAGCTCTCTCAGGCACCTACAGTTCTGGGAGTGACCTACAACTTGACCAAGTTGCAGCTCGAGATCAAGGAGGAGAGGAAGAAGGAGTTGGTCGAAGAAATCGACGCCATTGTTAGCTCTGGCCTGCTCGACCCTGGTTCAGCGGGTAAGCTCAAAGGCAAGCTCATGTTTGGTGCTTCGCAGTTGTGGGGAAAGATCGGGCGTGCGTTCTTGCGACCCATCTCGGAGCGCCAATACTGGAAGTTCCCTCCTTCAGCAGAGTTCAACTTGGATCGCCAGCTCGTGGAATCGCTGACACAGTGGCGTAAGCTCGTTCTGGCGGGCCCGCCGCGCTCCATCGATCTGGCACGCGAGAAGCTGACTGATGTGGTGATCTTTACGGATGGCTTCACACCAGACCCGAGATCCAGTGAGTCCAGCCCGGACAGGATTGGCGGTGTTTTGTTTGATCGTCGGTTGAGACAGCCACGTCAGTTCACGTTCGTTGTCCCACCATGTTTGAAGAACAGTGGCTCGAGCGATCAACTCAGATCGTTCCGATCGAGATGTTAGCCCCTGTTTTTGCACTGTCAACGTTCGCGGATAGGCTTGTGGATGCTGATCTGATTTTGCTCATTGACTCTGAAGCTGTGGAGGGAGCCTTGATCAAAGGCTACTCCAGTCGTGAAGACATGTGCGGCATCATCTCTGTATTCTGGGAGTTGGCACTTAAGCTCAGAGTTAGGGTTTTTATCGATCGCATTTCAACGGACGCTAATCCAGCAGATTGGCGGGTAAGCTCCATTTAGGCGAAGCAGCAGGTTGGTCTACTGTCCGCCCGATTTGGCCTTCCATGCTCAGATAAGTAGGTAAGGGCCTGGGCATTTTTCTTTCAACTGTTTTGCAGCTAGGCTCTGAGGGATAGATGCATACCATCTGGCTCTGACAGCTGTGCTTTGTTCGTTTGAGCTTTTTCATTTGGTGTGCGCCTTCAGCAGGCTCCTGCATTTCAGTGTCACGGTTCAATTTGACAGCATGACCAATCGATCAGACTGCTCGACCCCACGCCTAGTGCAGTCTCAAAAGTTTGGCGGCGGCAAGCTCAGACTGCATGTGTGTTCGTTGACATTTTTGAGATTTTTCATTGGATCAATTTCTTGAATTTGATTGAGAATTATTTTGAAGGGATCAAGGATGTGGAAGTGGAGAGATCGTTCGATTCTCCACGATCTGTGTGCAGTGAGTCGTTTGCGTGTTGACGGATAGGTTGGTCTGGAACAAGCAAGGGACTCTCTAATACAGTTTAACATCCTGATCTTGCGTTCATATGTATATATGCTTCCTGCTCTATTTTCTGTTCTTTATATATATATATATATTTATTTTACTTTTGATTTATTTCTGTGATGATCATTCTCATGTCGAAGGGTCCACGATCGTGATGCTGAGGTGACCGTTCGCCCGTGTGCCATTTTGGACTCAAAGAAGAGATCATCACAGCCCCTGAGGAATTTTTGACCCTCCCACCCGCCCTGCAGAATACGCAGGGTGGGTGGAGCTCCATCGTCCACCCACTGCTTTATGATCGTTGTGGGGATTGGAGTTCACTGAGCGTTTGGCATTCACCGTAGGGGCATTTTTCTTTCAACTGTTTTGCAGCTAGGCTCTGAGGGATAGATGCATACCATCTGGCTCTGACAGCTGTGCTTTGTTCGTTTGAGCTTTTTCATTTGGTGTGCGCCTTCAGCAGGCTCCTGCATTTCAGTGTCACGGTTCAATTTGACAGCATGACCAATCGATCAGACTGCTCGACCCCACGCCTAGTGCAGTCTCAAAAGTTTGGCGGCGGCAAGCTCAGACTGCATGTGTGTTCGTTGACATTTTTGAGATTTTTCATTGGATCAATTTCTTGAATTTGATTGAGAATTATTTTGAAGGGATCAAGGATGTGGAAGTGGAGAGATCGTTCGATTCTCCACGATCTGTGTGCAGTGAGTCATTATATTATAAAATTTTATATTATATTATATTTTATTGTATTGTATTGTATTATATTGTTTTATATTATATTATTTGTTGTATTGCACTATAGCTTATTTTATTATATTGTGTTTTAATATATTGTATTATATTATGTTATATTTTATGATAAAATATATTATATTCTATTATATTATATTATTTTTTTTCATATCATATTATATTATATTATGTTATATATATGTGCATATTGTATATAATATATATAATATATAATATATATATAATATATGTATATAATATATATAATATATATATATATAATATAATATATATATATTATGTATATTATATGCATGCGAGGTGAGCATGGTTCAAAAGGCGGTAGAAAAAAATACAATCTCGACTTGTGCATCGCACTTGAAACGTTGCCAGGCAAGGCTGCACTTGGCCAGAATACATGCTGCTTGGTGCATACATTGTTTACCTTTTTTTTAAACCCGAACTTGATAGCTGCAAACTTGATAGCTGCAAAGGCTCCTTTTAGCAGGGCTCCTCCTTCCGGTCAGGGTTGGGTTGGTTGAGATTGATGGGTTGTTGCACGTGGTTTGGTCACATGAGTACAGGGACATCCTGCACTCAAAGGCACGCATATTGTAAAATACACCTGGGAATGGAGTGGAAAAACCCAAAATAGAATTTCCACTACAGTGAACAACAGTGAAGCGCTCGTCTCTCATCAACAACTTCTTAATTTCTACTGCCAGTCCTCCAAACCAGACATCGTTAGGTCCCCAAGCTATCCTGTGACAAGTAAATTCTATCAAGAGAGCTTAATTAAAGTCATTCCGCTGGATGCCTTTCTGATTTGTGAACAGCTTCGTTGGGGAGCGCTGGACTTACAAGTCTGCCAGAGCTCGGAAGTTGACACTTGAAAGAACCTATTTCTAGTCGCGCCCAAAGGGTTCCAAGTGGCGTGATTATCTCGAGGTCTCAATCGTCCCAACCTGTACGACTTGCACTGAGCTCGAAACTTTCAATATGGGCTCTTCAATCAGCTGAGGCTCAGCGTGGTGCCATTGCAGCACGCGATGCTGAAGAGGCTGCCCGACAGGCAGTCAGTCGGGTGACTCAGAACAGGCGAGCTCCTGATGGCTCCGAATGGCTTTATCAGCTTCACCGTTGGATGTTTTTCTTGTCAAAGATGTACTGGTACAGTGGTACAGACTGGATCAGACTGGTACAGAGTCAAACTTTCGTTAATGTCAAAGGTCTCTCGCAACATGCCGCTCAATGGTTGCGGCCCCACGAGCATGGGAATTCTTGGATTAGACGTGGCCGAGATGGCCTGGCACTTAGATGAACTAGCGCCTGGAAGTCGCATGAAGACTGTACTGTGTGCTCATTTGTCATCATTCATTTTACTTTTAGAAATAATTTGATATAGATTGATATCATTTAAAATCATTTTTGACCCCAATGCTCAAAACTTGGGTAAATCGCCAATATTGGGGGATGGTCATCAATCCATGAGTAGGGATTTCCATACCCATTGTAGGGATTCCCATTGTGGGATGGATGACCATGGAGCTTTGAAGGAACATCCCCCAGAAATCCCTAGCAACGTGCGTGAAGGCACTGGATTGAACTCGCATTTGATGTCTAAAAATGTCTAAAATACAGGTTGGGTACATGCAAGGCCCGCTGCCGGCTATGAATGGTCATGGGGTGTATCTTCATAGCTATCGGTATGTCTGCTGGTATGCTATGCACAGCCATTAAATTTGCTATTTCAATATTTGCCAAGATCTGGCAGCCAGCCTTGCAACTGTTGCAGTCGAATCCCAGGAGCAGGGCTTGCTGGGTTTGATGGGACCCCATTTGCAACGTCAAACTGCTTCGATGTGTGAAGGTATGTGAAGGGGTATGTGAGTATGTGAAGGATTCAAGGTACACGGCATAGTACACTTCTAAGTCAGCCGAAATCCTTTCCAAGTATAATGAGCAACTGACGATAATATGGTATCAGATATTCGCAATGGACATCTCTTGATTAGGATTTTCAACAAACAGTAGAAGGAATCAAGAGAACACAGCAGGGAAACCATGTCAAATGGCCGTGGTGGAAAAAGTAAACAACTCCTGTCATCAAAATATCAAGATGTGACTGTGTGACCGTGTGCTGTCATTGGAGGATGCTACTGCCGCGCATAGAGCCATCGCTGCTGCACGTGGTGCTAGAGAGGCTGCACAGCGCCGGGGCTCCCTGAGAAAGTCGTTAGAGCTCCATCAGCCTAAGACCAGGTCCCATGAGATACTCCGTAAGCTGCCTGCGTTCTACTCGCTGTGTACTCGCTGTGCAACTAGAACTTTGCTGTGCAACTACCCTTCCCGACAGCAACATGTGTGTCGCGGGATCGTTTTGCATATCCGTGGTTGGTTGGAACAGCACTCTCATCACTTTCCAAACATGTCTCCCTATCCACGCAATCAACACGCAATCAACGGCTCTTCAATTTTTTCCAAGCACACTTAAGACTTGAGGTGCTAGAGCCCTAGCTGCAGCTGTGCCGAAGGAGATGCAAGTGAAACATTAGAGAGGTGTCCATTTCGCCCAGCCTCAAAGATGTTTCATTGGCTGATTGGCTGGTAATCCTGTCCATGAATCTTGATCAGGAGGCCGCTAGTACCTCTCAAAAAGGACCTGAAGAGGCCATTTCCGGCAAACGGTGTGTTGCGGAAAGCCTTACCAAATATACGGGTACTTACTCTAGTGATGTTTGTATGGCAGTTACCAAAACACATCCTGTTTGCGAGTGTTGCGCTTGAGGGATTCATTGACTCATGGCATACTTTGTTAATGGCGTTCATGCAAGCTGTGCAGACCAATGAAGTGGCGCGCCACGTTTTTTTCATTCAGGTGCAGACAAAACAAAGCACCTCCATGAAGGCCCGTGAAGCAGGGCATTTGCGGCATTTGAACACCTTCAAGATCTTCACGCGTTTGCCAAACCCGAACGCCATGCATCTTTGGGACTCAGGTAGCCTCTACTTCCAGTGCGCCTGTAGCATTGCCAACCAAAGAGGCGGACATGTACAAAGGCCTGCCTGGGCAGTAAAGCGGACACTTTGGCCAGTTATGAGGCATCATACCCATAGTATGCCATAGTCAGCGCAGCCAGTACTTTCTCAAATTCAAAGGGCATGAAAACAACAAAAGCGGCAACAGTCAAGGCACTTTAATAGCAAATCAGTCCAAACAAATGAGTTCACCATTTTGATCTGTATTGAACTGCCGGCTGCGGCTTTTGCAAGCCAGGAGAGCGGATGGCAGCACAAACTGCTGGCCTATGCATTCTCACCATTTGCATCGTGTTGGTCTGGTTCCAGAGCAACGCGTCCAGATCCCTAGCAAGTTGCATTTAGCTTTAACAAATTTTGTGTGTTTTCCTGACTCAAAGGGTTTTACTGCACAAAGTCAACTGCATCTTTGAGTCTCCAAGGGTTGATCCATCCAACCACCGACAAAAGAACGGCGAAGATGAGGCGGAGTACGAGTGTTTACAGATTTTCTGTTTTGGTCGGGGTCACGTCAGAACAGTTTTTGATTGAGGCCAATTGATTTGTGTGTCTACACAATTTTGCTCCTGATAGAACACCACTTTTGCCTGTCAGGTGTCAATCTTGAACCGCTTCGGCATGCTTTGCTGCTGCTGCCGACAGATCAGATGTCAGAGCCTGAGACACGTTTCAAGCAGTGCTCGGAGGCAATCATTAGCATTTGCAAACCTTGAAACGACAAAGATTTTTCGGGACCAACATGGAGCAACACCAACGTGGGCCAACAGCCATGATCACCGTGAGCTCACGGTATGGCCACCATAGGGTTTCATTTCGACTCATTTCGACTCATTTCGACTCATTTCGACTCATTTCGACTCATCTGCTTTTGCATCTGTCCCTTGCTGTCCCTTGGAGGCTGCGGCTTTTGCTGTGTGCAATTTGTCAAACTTCTGAGCCACTGCAGCTGTTCCACTCTGAGTGTCATGCCAAGCTCTCAGTTATCATAAGTCCATGCCTTGCAAATTGAATTGGCACAGCTATATCATTTTACATCCCAATTTGAACCTTAAACATGTCTGTAAGCATTGAAGATCTGAAGATTTTCCTGGACTTCCAGTTGGCACCTGCGCAAAAATACGAATCATTGCTCATGCAGATGAGATGCGCTGAGAACTTTATCTTTTGCTTGGCAAATTCCTATCTATGATTCAACGCATGCAGGGGTCTGATTGTTTTCCTCATGGGCTACAGCCTGAAGCCAAGAATCTGAGATTTGTGGAAGAGCTCTCAGAGTTACAGATTTCATCAGATTTCTCTCTGAATTGTGGAAGAGCTCTCAATGAATTGTTCTTGCTTTGTTGACATGATAGAGTCTGATAGAGTGTGAGCCAGGGATAGCCATTGACTGAGCAGTGCACCTTTTCGTTATTGTCGTGGATTGTCGTGGCACTTGTGGGCGTGTTATGTTTTGGTTGTTTTGGTTGTCGTGAGTCTTGTGGCGCGCGGGTTTCCTATCTTTGAATTTTCAGCTCAGCTTGAGTTCAAGGAAAACACCAAGGCTTTAAGCAGCTTTGGGACCAACACCTCATTCAGCCGCACTTGGAAGAGGCAACGATCTATTTGTGACTTGGTCCACTTGGTCCACTGATGCACTGACCATTGGCCTATTTTTTGTATTGCACAATTTGCACAGCCAGTGTAGCATCTCAAGGAATGCAAGGAATCTTTGGATTCAAAGCTGAGGTTCTTTGCAACGGTAGCTTTCATCATCATCCTGATCTTGGTTGGATCTTTCGCCGCTCAGCAAGTGATGCAACTCTATGCTGCCACCAGACCTTGCGAACGATCCCGATTCCATCTTTGACACAGCATTCCAATCTTGGCTTTATTTTGCTGAACACCAAGATGTTGCAATGAACAAACTTCAGCTTCAGATGCTATCTCCACTTCATGTTTCTGCTTGCTAAGGTAAATTGGCTCCGAGAGAGGGTTGGTTTGCTGCTGAGAGATGCATGAAATGAATCAAACGAATTCACATGAATTCAAACGAATCAAACACAACTCGGAGCTTCATCGCTTTGTGTTTCAGGTTTCGTCCACAGTGTGGTGCAGTTCGTGGACGAGAAGGCATGGCAGCATGGCAATGACTTCGGCATACTTTCTAATTCTTTTGAGTATGTTCTGGAATGTTCTTGAATGCACTATTGATTATAGCAGTTGAACGAGAAACAGTGCGTTTGTGCTTGGGCCGACATCCGACTCCTGAATTTATCTGAATTTGAGTCGCAATGGCGGGTAATTAATTCTACGAATATCTCTGGCTACGTTTGCAGTCTGGAATCAACGGAATCAATAACGGCCCTGCAGATGGATATCTTCGCAGCTTTCTTTGGTTTGGATGACTCCGACGATTCGGACTCAGGTTCGGAAGCTTAACGATCTTAACGCCTATTTGTTAATTGCCACACATGTATACAAAATTATACAAATGTGATGTTGACATGTTGACCAGTCACGGTGACGGCCCGTGAAGTTCTTCCGTATATTTCCACGATCAGTTCTTGTCCCACAGATTTGCTCAGGCATTTGGTCTGATGTTCATGCGTACAAGCAGGGTCGCCAAAGGGGCGTTGACGGGCATAGAGTGAATGAAACGTCTGAGCCTCCCTCTAACTTATATATACTTATATACATTTATTATTATTATCATTATTATGATTATTATTATTATATATCTTTCTGTCATCTGTCGACAAAGCATTCAATGTTAAGCTGCGGGCCTCAGCTCAAGTTTAACCGTTTCGTAAAGAGGGAGTCCATGAAAGCAACACATCAATCACGTTGTAAGATGCCTTTGGCACTTGGCAGCACCCTCCCAGGATGCCCAAAGCCAACCGCAGCGACCTGCGCGACCCAGCGAAGGCTTCAAGATTGTTTGATAGGTTTTTGAGGAAATTTTGATTCCTTTCAGGCTATTTTCGGTTTTATTTCTCAAGTTATCCTTTCTTTGACCTTTTTTGGGTCCGGCGGTCATTCTGTTTTCCAAATTTCTGTACCTTCGGAACATGTTGGAATTTCATTTTGCCAGTCTGCAGGAGGCCCTTCGAGGTGCAAGATGCTGATCTGTCGGGGAAAGGTCAACAAAAGCCAGATTGCATCTAATTCTGTCTAATTATATCTAATTATGGCATCTAATTTGGATTGCCCAAAGAGAGTTTTGAAGACAACCCTTTCAGACGAGATTGTGATAAGCATCGGGCAACTAGTCGGGTTGATGTTTTGCTTTGGTCATAAGAAGTGGGAGAATTTCGATGAATTTCCAGAAGTCAAATTTCTGATTGAGAAGTGGTACTTCCGTATTGCTCATGTATCTCTGTTCTGTATCGTCATGTCATTTTCTTGTTTAAGAGCTAACATTATCATGTGTGACGTGGTGCGACTATGGGGATCCTCTTGCTTCAGAGAAATAATCACTAGCATTGTCAGGATTAGTCAGGAACCATAGGAACCCTAAGCGAAGCAGCTTGTTCCCTTTGCAACCCGTGACTTGCATTGTTTGCAGATATTGGGAACGTCTTTGGCAGGCCGTCCAAAAGGTTCTCTCTGGTGGGGTCCTCTCTTTGGAAAGCCAAAGCGCCTTGAAAAGAAATGTGCACTTTTTGCACTTGTAGCAGATCAGAAATCAGCATGATGCAGCATGGTTTCCTTTTTCTCTGAAGATTTAGCCAGTCGTCATGCTACCGAGGAAGAATCGGCGTGATGCAAGGGAGATGCCAGTCTGATTTTAATCGCGTGCAGGTCCAAAAAGACTTTGGACTCGTGACTGATGGACTAACGAATTAGCAATTTGCCGACGAAGGCAAGCTGCACAAGCTGCACAAGCTGCACGGGCAGCAGGGATGCCAAATTTAACAATAAATCGGAAGGTTGAGCGCTGAGTGAAAAAGAATGCAGGGGAAAGAATGCTGGGCATGTAAGTTACGGCTATTCTCACCAAAACCGTACTGGAAAGTTGCTGCTTTTTGAAGTTTGCGAAATCCTTGGCACCCAGCTTTCAAGCTTTGCTTCTTTCATCTTCCTTTCTTTAGGACATTACTGTGAAGCCTTGTGGAGAGCATTTGTGGTTCACACTGCCTACTGACCTATCAATGACTGTGCCTTGTACGAATCTGACAATTCCCAGTCTAAAATTTGACATGTGTCATTCCCGGATTCCCAAGACATCGGCCTTTTCAGAGACCCTTCTGTGAAGGCACCCGGCAATGACAAGCGCGCATTTACAAGTCGGATCGGCGATGAGGCATCTTGTGGGCGGATTCAGAATAGGCTAAATCGGCTCAATGTCAATCATTCGTTCTTTTTCCTATGGCTTTTGCACTCTGAGTGGAAGTGTCACAGTAATTTTAGCTTAGCAATCGCAGGTTTTATTTTCAGGTGCTATTGTTTTGAATTTTTAAACAACTTATTCAATCAAGCAAATCAGTACAGTATATTGTATCCTTGGAATTTTCCTTTGTAGAGCTTCTTGAATGATGCGACGGATAAATCCAGAAATTTCGTGAATGATGATGTGCTGTGAGTTAGACACTTTGCTCACCTGTCTAAAGGTCCGTGCCATACTGGTAATCAGGTAGTCAGCAGATGTCAGCAATTGTCAGAATTGTCAGCAGATCTCTAAGATCCGGGAAAGTGCCTCAAGTCTGTTGCTCCTTCAGTTCTTGTGCCTTGTGCAGGATCTGCTCATCCTTTCGAAGGAGCGTACGGCACATGCTGGACATGTTGGAAGGAGTTACAAATTCCAACTAAGTTCACACATAGGAAGTGAGTAGTAATTGAAGAATATGAAGATTGAAGATAGATAGTCAATTCATTTTCTCAATATTGAGCTTGCTTCCTGTCAGAAGAAAGCATGGCAAGCTGCAGAAGTCCTGCTTGCAATGTCTTTTGCGCTTGATGAATAGATGAATATATAGATCCACAACGATCCAGAAATCTTTGCAGGTTTTCTATGTAGCATCTCCGTTCCTATGCCGCTTGGACTTGTCGTGCCCCTGAAGAAGCTGCCACTCGCAAAGCAAAGATCACTGTGCAACCTGAGAGGTGATGTCGTAGTGATGTCGTATGATCAACTTGATTTCAAATCAGGTACAATCTCATCGGTGACGATGGTGCAAAATATTTGGCTTCTCTAATGGGACCACGGGTGCGGTGCTCACACTGCAGAGAATAAGGGTGCTCTGTGATGCTTTGTGTAGGAGAGAACTTTACTGCAGGACATATGCACACGAAGTCCGCCTTTTTCTGTACGGTTTCGCTTTCCTGCACGCCTTGTCCGCCTTTTTCTGTACGGTTTCGCTTTCCTGCCAGCCTTTTTTTGATTTGCAAGAGGTGGGTAATCACGAAAACTAGCTTCTGCTATCTGAAGTCCCTCTTTCTTTAGAAAGGTATTGGCAGGGGCTGGAATCACCAATCACATTCAACTTCACATTTCACTACCCCTCCTCCCCCCTTTGTTTTTTTGAAAGATTTGAATGCAGTTTTGCCGTGACTCGATCCTTGCCCTGGGACATCGTCGCCGCATTGTCGCAATCAGCATCATCAGCATCATCAGACTTACGCTCCATTTCATATCCCCCAATTCTTCACACACCGCCGCTCTTTCACCACACCTTCCTCCTCCCTTTACCTTCACACCTAGCTTTCGTCCCTTGTGCCTTGGCCTCGAGTCCATGTCCTCAGCACGCTCGGATAGGGTCCCAACAGCAATCTAGAAAGTCCACAGAATTCCCACACTCCTGGAATGCTGCACTGCATAACCTCTCTTATCCCTTCTTGCCAACCCGTGATCCTGGAACCTCGCAGCCAAAGGGAGCCATTTGAACATACCCTAACATACCCTGTTGAAACTTCAGACACTTCAAGATATGATTTAGTGCACACAGGTATTTTAAGATATTTTAAGATCCACACATCTAACAGAATTCAGCCCTTAATCAGTTCCTCACTGCTTGAGCCCCTTGAGCCCCTTGAGCCCCTTGAGCCCCTTGAGCCGCTTTAGCCCTGCACCATTCCAACCCTGGACCCATGGAACGACCCAAAATCGGAGGCTGAAGCGTCAGTTGTGCGCTGCCAAGTAGCTGCTTGAGGCCGAAGCCCTGAGTTCCTTGCAGTTGCGCTCAAATGCAATTGGCCCAGAAGGCTGCCAAGCACTTTGTGAGGTGTTGAGGCTGGAACGTGCTTTGAATTTGCTTTGGATTTTCTTTGGATTCCTGATGCTGTTAGTTTGATAGCGGCTAGCCTTTGCAGGCTGATGCAAATGTGGAGCCTGTGTATATAAGAACGCATGTTATTTATTGGCAGAAAGAACAGTCACAACACGTGGCCCCAGTGTTTGACAAGACAGAGGATACTGTGATTCACATTTGGGATGGCAAAGCATCCATGTGCATTGCACTGACACCTGCCAAGTAAGTGAAGTCAGCGCCAGCGAAGCCTCAAGAAAATTGATGACCATAGACATTGATACAAAGTCGTTTCTGACCAAAAGAGATGAAAGAGGATTCATTGAAAAGTTCGATGAATGACACCTTTGCGTCTTCCTTCCTTGCTGCTTCTAGTTTGCAGTCCTACAGCAGGCCCAAGAAAGCCTGAACACATGTGAGACCCAACTCTGACATCGAAATTACAAAGAGCCTCACCCTGTCGGATAGCAAGGAGACTGCTGGGGACAAACTGAAGACTCTCCTCTGACCACACCAGACTGCCCTGCATCATCATTCTGCGTCAAACTGCATCATTTCAAGCTTTTCAACTCTCGCCCTTTGTCATACTGTATATGCTGCTCACCTGTTCTGATGCATTGCTGCACTACCACATTTCACAAATTAGCTATGTTGGCCACATTTGGCCACTGGGCCAACAGCCCAAGTAGCCCAAGTGCTCATTCGCTCAGCCATAGAACTCGCCAGGTCAACCCCGTTGAAACGATTTGACATCTCAATGAACCCGTGTGATCCTTGAATGCAAACAAAGTAAGCAAATGTGACCAGAGTTGACAAGCAGCTGTGAACATGGATTTTAGATGATTTTAGTGAAACGACATGTACCTCTTGATGATTGGCTTCAATTCTCAAGTGCCGCTCTGCAATGAGCTTTGTAACACCTCTCAACAGATGTGAAGTGAGTGTATGACAAAGGCCTACTTTCCGCGCATGTTGTTTGGCTCAAGTGTGAAACAAAGCAATCATTCCGCAATCATTCCGCAATTCCAATAGTCAGTTTGTCTTTCAAATCGACGTTCGATGCCTTCGATCCAAGTGAAGGCGCTGTTCATTTTGGCACTCCTTGGAGGCCATGAAGCCGTTCGTATCCATGAAGATGTGAATCTCACAGCCCTGGCTTATGAATCCACAGGTCACCTCAAGCCAGGCAAGGATGAGAAAACATATCAGGAGATGAATAAACAATGCAAATCATCCTGGGATCGCAAATGTACCCAGGAAGGATGTGAATGGAAGCCTTTCACTTTGGATGGGCCTTGGGGTTCATGCCGGAAAAGCGACGAATCCTTGCTGGCTTCTGGTCCTGAGGCCGTGAAAGAGCACCTCAAGATGTTTGCCGGAATCTTGAAAGCCAAGGCGAAGAAATACACCGACAGCTGCTCAGCACGCTTTGCGAACAAGCTGAAGTGCAAGCGCCGAATCCAGCAGATGGTCAATGCTGTGAGGTTCATGGCATTGGCACGGAAGAAGGCGGGAGAATTCTCCGAGGAAGATCGAGAGGAGATAAAGCAGGCATTTGAAGAGGCAACAGACAGCATTGCTGCAACGATGGAGAATGGTGATTCCGTCAAAAAACTGCAAGATAAGATCCTGTCTTCTCATGCTATGGAAGCGAATCCCTCAGGCACTGTGAAGACAATGGTTGAAACGGTGATGAAAGTGACTGAAGGGAGCAAAGAACAACAAGAAGAAGCAAAGGAGGTGATTGACCGTACCGATGCCTTTGAACCAATCGAAGAGAGCGATAGCATTGAGGAAACGGACGATGACTTTGACGAAAGCCTACGCCAGCTGGAGCCTGGGAGTGAAGATGAGACTGAGACTGAGATTGATGACACCTTGGGCACCTTGGGTGAAAAGCAGAGTTCTGCTTTGCAAGTCCGGAACTCCCTCCAGATTGACCGATCCGATGTTGCTGGTGGTCTTCTAGCTGTGCTGGCTGTGGGGGCTGCAGTCTTCACCGTCATTATGGTTGGGCAATTCTTGGCCTTTGCTTTGCTGGGATATGCTCTTGTACTTCTCGTTGGATGCATTGGATACTATGTAGGACGACATGACGAAGCCAATGCCCTAGCAGAAGCTCAAAAGAATGGTACAAATGAGACTAAGAAAGATCAACAAGTTGCAAAGACTAACAATGGAATGACCAAGTGGCAGGCCTTCAAGGGCGCCTCAAAATGCTTTGTGAAACGTATTCTGTTTCCATTCAAGCTCGTCTACAAGGCGGGAAAATGGGCCTATGAAGCGGCCTTCAAGAAAGATAACTCGACGACGACAAAGGCCCCTTGAAATGCTACTTCTCCCCTGGAGTGAATCTGAGTGAATATGCCTTAATCTGCGCAGAACCAATTCTGATGCTACTTTGCCCTGCCGGCGACAAAAAAGGTGCAGTTTGCCCGGCGCGCCTGCAAGATCAATTGAGTCCTTGACAAAGTTTTGATGCCTGGTACTTCCAATAGACCCTTTTAATCTCTTCCATTGCTTTGTGTCAGCTCCTCTTGCCTCCTTGTACAGTACCAACTGAGGCTAGGAAAAGAAGGCGGCCTCATGCGACTCCGGCAACAATTTATCCGAATGCGGCAGCCTTTCCCTTGTTTTGATACGGGATATATTCGCTCGTGAACCCCAATACGATGATTCGCATACTTGTAATGTAATGCAATACGATCTTATTGATGATTAGCATACTTGAAACGCAATGCTGTCTTATGCACTATATGATAATATGCAAACGTGGTATTTTGTGCAATCCAATGCCTGCAGCGGAAAGGAGTTTGATATGACATTCTAAATTCATGTCGTGCATCTCCATCAATGGACGTATATACGTTCTACAGCACACATATTTACATATTTGTGCCTATGCACATATCTAGATATATGTCTATGCGCACGCACATACACACATATGCATAATATAATATATATATATTATACACACAATCACATATATAATCATATATATATATAATATAATCACGTATGTATGTGTACTCACAACACAATCTCTTTCTGGCATTTGGAAGCATTATTTCCTTTGCTCGGCTCCGGCTGTGTGACTTTCACATGCAGAGCTTGCAAACAAAGGTTCCGCGATACCTAGAAGTAGCACAAACGGTGCATGGATAAAGCACGTTAAATGGCAACAAACGACATATGACATATGAAGGGAATTGAAGAGTTACAATTCGATGATAGAGACTCCGAAAAAGGCCTTGAGGAACTCTCAAAGCAGTCTGAGTTGGAATCATCTGGCAACATTTTGGAGTATACAGATACATGTTTCACCTCACCACGTGGCATTATTGCGGCAAGGTTGGTTTCTCTGGTGCAGCGCTCCCCAAACCTTTTAGAGGCACCGCAAAACATCAACTTGAAGATCCTTTGTTAGCATTTTGACAGCAGGGCTATTTGTTCTTCAAAATCACGAAAGCATGTTGGAACCTACTGACCATCAAGATGGGGCCTGACAACTGAAGTTTCTTTGAGATTGTACGATTTGCCTTGAGCATTCAAATGCGGCAGCTGCTTGTTGGCCTAGTGGTACTCAGTGTCGCAGAGATGTTCAGTAGTTTAAACATTCTTTTAACTGATTCAAGTGGCACGGACCGGAAGTCTCAAATATTTCACTGTCCACACTACACCTCTCTACACTCCCTGCGTCAGCTCTTTATGGGCGACACTGAAGCGGACATTGACGCTTGGCGGAAAAAACGTACATTCCCGTGATGAAATGTCATGTGGTGTTTGCCAAAGCAAAAAATGCAAAATGACATGCTTTGGCAAATGCACAAAATGCACAAAATGCTGCATGACTTGCCTCAAAGGATGTCCTAAGGATGTCCTTGTGTCATTGGCAGCAGTGCTGCGAAGACATCCATCGCAGCTTGCGGTCGCCGGCTGAGAGCACTAGGCAGAGAGACTTCAGCAATGCGTCCAAAGTCATCCAAGTTCCAGAATGTGCAACATGATGTCATCATGATGTAACATGTAATATTATTTCTATGATAGCGTAATTATAGTACTACATTCATAGTACATTGTTATGCATTGCACAGCAATTAGTGTTCTCACCTTGGCCTAGGTCCCTGCTAGACTGCCAACAAAATGCACAAAGACCAATAACATTTCCCAACAACCATTGCCACCTAGCGAGTGACCATTCGCGTTCCGGTGGATATGCAATTTTGTGCGGTGTATATTGCACATTGAGTCACTCCTTTTATTCATTGGGTGGAACTAAGCCGTTTATATGTAATATATATATATAGATGAACAGAAATCGGTTGTCATCATCTCGAAATGATATTCGGTCCTTGCTTTTCCCCCTGGAGCGTTTCATAGTCCTTCAGACCTACTAAAGAAATCACCTGCAAATTGTGAAACATGCTTGAGACATAGTGAACATTGAAGTTCAGGTGCTGGATGTTCAAAATCCGAGAATATCCACTTTGCAGGACAGAGGAGTAGGTTCAAGCCTTCCAAGCGAGACACGATTTCTGTTCTCCTGGCCATCCTGATCCATGCCCACTCTTCACCTTTAGCATGGATCATGGTCGACAATTCCCAGGAGGATCACACGGTGCACCTTGGAAAGATGATGCGAAGCAACACCAAAATCACAGATCTTTACCTCGGAAAGCAGAGGACTTTTGCTTCCCGCTGTCCGACAGGCTGTCCTGCTTGTTGACGACTCATTCAATTTCAGAATTTCTGAGTCGTTTACTCGGTTACACACTTTTGTACACACGTTTGTTATTTGTTCCTTGTTGTTCTTCAATTCTGAGACCTTAGCTTGTCCTAGATTCATCAATCATCACTAACCCCTCTACCAGCTCGTGAGGATGCGTGATGAGGGAGCTCGTCAACTGGTGGACTTTCTGCTAGAGAACAAGGCGACCATTCTCAAGTAGTTTGAAGTCGCTTAACCGCTCGCATGCCCAGAAGACGGAAATGCTTTTAGACATTTTGAAACCTTGAGCTATGAACTCTGTGCCAGGTGCTGCGTGTTTTGGATCTAAGGCCTGAGTTGATATAGTTGATATCGTGAAGACTTTGATTATTTTCTTCTCATGACTGCAGACCAGTGGTGCTTCTTACTTTCATTTAAGTTTGTTTTCTTCTGGTACTGTGCAACATGTGCAGCTGACATGGTTTCGATTTCCATTTTCTAAGATTAGGAAATCCAAAATGCAAGTGCTGTCTCAGTGGCAGATTTGACAACATGTCGGAGAAGAACGTTCTTCGGTACATGCAGAGCCCTGCAGCTAGATTCTAGATGCAACGGTTTTTTCAGTGACCAGCCTCTTTCATTCGTTTTGTCTCTTTTCAATGGTAAAGCTTAGCCATGACATGCTATTGGAAATCATTTTGGCGGCGAGAGCTTTGCATGCACTACAAATCTCTCGCGATCACTCGCTGCCTCGCCACAGGTGTAATGAGTTGGGTGCCGTGTCAGCGTGCCCATTAGTCCGAAGCAATTTTTGGTTTGATGATTTTCTTGTCGTGCCGCACTTCTGTCATCGACTGCCCCAATGGCTGAAGTCTGCGAGGTACTGCTTGGGCACCCTTCTGGCGCATGGCAGTCAACTAGTGTCAGTGGAAGCCTGATGGACTCTGCGAGAACTGTCGAAACATGGGCTGAATGTGACAAAGATTGTGACAAAGATTCCGTTTAGTCTGCCATGTGCGATGTGTCCATACAAGCCTCCGGTGCACTTCAGTTGAACCTGTCCTGCAATCGGATTGGGGAGAAGAACAATGCAGAACTGGCATGCTTTCCACTGCCTTTGAGCGGCCTTCTGAAGCGGAGTTTTGCAGATTCCGAACTGCCATCAAAGATTTGTTTGTCCTATGAAAGTTTTATGAAAGCTTATTTTAAATTTTGATCATTGTCTATTGCATGTTGATCATGATTGCATATTTTATTGTCAATTGTCAAAGTCTTTGCAACCGGTTGCTACAGTTTCATGATGCCCCAAGCAGGTTACCGGGACCACAAGGTTGCGGCTTTATATTCCTGTGTTCCCTTTGTTCCCTTTGTTTCCTTTGTTCCCTTTGTTTCCTTTACTCCATTTGAGCAGGTTGATGGAGCCAAAGCCTTGGCAGAGGCTGATCGTCCAATACTTGTTCTGCGAGTGTGTCATGTTTGACGATCAAACTTTCTGCTCCCATGAAGATTGTGCAGAAAGTTGAGAGTTTAGAGGTGTGCTGTCGGCTGAGTGGCTCAAGTTTAGCAAGTGTCGAGTTAAGTATGTAGCGTTTGTGAGTAGTATCAACTCCAGAATCGGCCTTCTGTTTTCCGGCTGAAAACCGGATACCAGGCTCTAGATGCTTGTGCTATCTGTAGCAAACCGCTGTTGTTCCTTGCAGGGCCTTGTTCACAACAGTCACCTGGAGCATCTGGTGGGAGACTTAGGGAACTGGATGAAAATAGAAGGGTTCAATTCAATAGAAACCGGGAGCATTGAATTCCCCTTATCATACTTCGACGGCAGACTTCCATTTTGGAACCTCAACCAAATAAGATCAAGACAAGATGCCATGTTCTGCCAGCCATTTTCTCGCATTTCCTTCAGAGTCTGAAGAAGTAAGGACCTCAACCACAATGAACTTTGTGGTCAGGTGCTGCTCCCGCTTTCAACCTTGGCAGCTTTTCAGTTTGCGCTTTGCAATCTCCCGTCACCTTATAGACAACGACAAGTGGAAGACAGTGACAAAGCTCTCTAGTACAACACAGGTCGCGTGGCCAATTTTCAACGGAACAACACATTTGAACAAACAATCAAAAGGCTGCTTCTTTCAACATCCAGTGAAGAGATGTCAAAAGATGTGAAAAGATGTGAAAAGGGAGTCTTGACAGAGTGATTCACAGAGTGATTCACCGAGTGACAGAGTGATTGTGCGGAGTGGCAGGCCTTGAGCTTACTGGGTGAATCGCTGCAGCACAGCACAAAACTTGTCTCTCTGCGGCTCTTCCACAATCACTGGCCCCTCGGAGCTGATTTGTGTCAAGGTCTGACACGAGACTTTTTTCTTGCAGACTATGCCACAATTGATTTCTAATTTGCACTGGAGCTCCGCTGAAACTCCACGTTTGCATGGGTTCTGTACATCGCGAATTTGTCCATTGCTCTCAGCCAAGGGATCAGCCATCTTCATATCTCTTCCACACACTTCTCACTGGGCGGTCAAAAGGCTTGGGACATAGGAATTCTCCGACTGATCACTGTGGCATCACTGTGGCACTATGGCCCTATGGCAATCACTTTGCCAGTGCTGACTACATTGGCATACCTGGCGGCATAGCAGTTTCCTTGCTCGAGCCACGAGTTTGTGATGCGCATGCCATCTCATGGCCTGCCGCCCTGCCAGGAGTGCCCCTGAAGGCGGACTTCAGAACAAGTGAGGCCATCCTGTCGTGACTGTCGTGGTGCTTTGTCACATTTGATTTTGAAGCCCCACAGCCGCGGACAGGTAAGGTCAATGAGGTAGGCAATCATTAAGGTCCTTATGGCACTGAGCATGCTCTTGCTATGTTATCCAAATCCGCTACCGCTTTGTCGGACTTGGGGGTGTTGGGCGTTGGAGCTACGACTCTGACCTCCCTCCTATTCCTACTAAACGTTCCAAGGATTGACCATTGGGAGCTATATAATTTGCAATGCTTTTCTGATGCCATGATAAAATTGACCCATGGCTCATGGACATGGAGAGTTCTGCAGGTATCTGCTGATCTTTGGCTTACTCTAGCACTCCGGAAGTTTCTGATGGGAAAAACCGAAAAAAACGCACGCAGTGAGCTGATGTCATTCTTTGCCAGGTTGACCAGCAAATCCACATCTCAAAGCTGGAAGTGGTCCTTCTTCGGCAAGATGCAGGGATGTTGTGGTGGCATGCGTCTTGTGAATGTTGAGAAGGTCATGTAGTCTTACATCCAAACAAATGAGATGTTGAAAGAAAAGTAACAGGCACAGGCAGGGGGAACTGAACCAAAGTCAAATGATGTCAAATGAACATTATGTGTAATGATGTATAATGTACACTACTACTGTATATAGCCATTTTAGGTTTCAGCCAGCGATCTTTCAAAATGTACCGCCTATGTAATGGTTTCCTTAAAATTTATATATGGAATGAAAGAGATGGTGGAAGTCAAGCCTCTCTCATGCATCTCTCCTGTATAGTGCATGGCATGGATTTGACTGTTGAGGAATTGGAAAGTTCACAACAGTTCAAGCGGCTAAATCACCTGCAGTAGCAGAAGGGGAGGGTTGCAACCAGGTGAAGAGAGCTGGAGGAAACATTTAAATTTCGTGAGTTCGTTGAAGATATTCCAAGGTGTTTTGTGTTGGTAAGATCTGGGTATTGGGGTACCAAAATCAGTCCAAGAGGAGGACCTTCACTGTTCAGAACATCATGAATTGCACAGTTTCCAATTTATTCCAAGTCGGCTTCGCTATTTCTGGTGTAAAGTACAACAGCAAACATGTGCTGATGAATGTTTGTCCAAGGACCGGTGAGTGCATGGTGCGCGAACAGCAAATGTTGTCTCATGCACTGCATAGGGTGTCTCACAAGGAAACCCTGCAGTTGGCCATATTTGACTGATCATTTGGTCTTAGAACGTCTAATAGCAAGGATTCACTCCTTGGAGCCTGTTCAGGAACTTTTGCTGATGAGAACATTTCTCTCATTTTCTCTCAATGTGCCAACTATGCCATGTCTGGAACATGTGAGATGCCCTGGTGTTGAAGATCATATGAATTCAGCCTTCCACATTCTGGTGCGTGGCACTGTGAAAAAGAATATGCCTGTGGGAAGGCAGAGAGGAGATGGAGTGGAGTTGTGAGGGGGTTGTCGTGAACAAGCTGTAGGCAGGTTCCAGAACTTTAGATTTTGACGTCACTGCACCTCAATTAACTTGACATCGACCACCCATGCACGCTTTTCACAGATTTGTCTCATGTTCATGAATTGGCGACCCGCCTTTGGGGCATTGGCTGGGCTTTTGCCCCGCACTTTGCCAGCTTGTCCTTTGCATATTTTGCACTGATGCATGAGTTACATGAGCTTTGCATACATACATGTATGTAGTATATAATATAGGTAATTATATAGGTATTTGTAGATTATATACTTTGCATTGCCTTAGCATCTCACGCTTTGCTATTTGCTTGCGGCATTGGGTGGGCGCGGGACATTACTGTCGGTTGGACAGCCTGCGGGCTCAGAGCTGGGGGAGAGCTGGTTGCGCTGGTCGCAACTTGGGCCTCCGGTTTGCAGGCATGACCGGGCATGACCGGGCATGACTGGGCATGACTTGATTGACTTGGAGAGTGTGAATGGTTCCAGACCGACAGAAAAGCACCTTCGCGCTCGTATGATTCATATTTGGATGATGAACACATTTGTTGCATGTCCTTTGTACGAAGGAAATATTGATTTGTGTTGGATCAGCATGTCCGAAGCCGACTCCAGGTCAATGAAGTGAGGGTCATGCTGCTCGAGCGCGAGAGATCTGGATTAGCCTGGTCCTTGGTTGAATTTTGTGCCAGAGAGGCATACACAAGCAGTCTCAATCGTCTCAAGCCAAGAAACTGGGGTAGAAATTGGCGTTGCGCTTCCAAAGACAGAGGCCATGCTCTGTCTCCTGCTTGCACTGCAGGTGCCCGGGGAAGGGAAAGAGAGAGGGAGAGTGAGTGAGAGAGAGTGAGAGTGGGAGTCGGAGTGGGAGCTGAGCTATTCACGCGATAGGACACTACGACTCAGCGGAAAGACATGCACTGATGCAAGATTCTTTGTACGAAAAGTGCCCAAAGATGTTCAAAGATGTTTGAAGATCTTTTCGGCCTTGACAAAAGAACTCGACCTTTCACTGCATACTGTAGCATTCACAGATTTGTCTTTATATCATATTTTATCCTGGTCGCAAATCATTTGTGCGTCTGTTTTCCCGTGTCCATCTCACATTCCTTTGATTTCCTTTGGCTCAAAGCGTTGGATTGCATTTCTGTGGAAGTCGCACAGCGCAGTGGCCTTGCCATGTGGAGCCGTGCCCTGCTTCCCTTGGCTGCTGTGCCAGTATCAATTGCTCTGCAACGAAAGAAGGCCCTGGCAGTACAGGGCTATTCAAGAAATGGTGAAGAGGAAGGCAACTGGAACAGGAATCGAAATGAGAAAGCAGACAAATTCAAGAACAAGACAAAGAAGATTGAGATTGCCGTGCTTGCCTCACAATGTGTTTGCACAGTGCATATGAAATATCAAGGGCTCCAAGCTCCCTGAAATGAAATGCACTGCTGATGTATGCGGTGTGCATTTGTTGTTTGTGTTCTGAGAAGCTGCGCAATGGGCAGGAGACAAAGTGGCTTCCAACACGATGCAGGGATGAGAATGAGGCTCGTGCAGAGACACAGACATCAAGGGACCAAGAGCCTTAGCCAGCCGTGTGTATGTGCAAACTGTGCAAACTGGATCTCTGGAGAACCGGGACTTTGACGGCCTGGGAACAATCCAGGATTCAAACATTTGAGCAGACGACCCGTAGTATGAACCATGTCAGTACTGCCTGGTCTTCGCTTATGTTGTGGAACATTCAGAAATAGGGAAATTCATGGAAATCCAACATCAGTACCACAAACCCCCTTTGTGTCTCAGTTGTAACCAGAGAACTTACCCTGAAAACCATCGAGATCATTCGAGCATGACTTCTGGTTTCAAGCAGGAGCCTACTTGGACCACCTTGGCTTGATGTAAAATCATTGGACTTTTCAACGACGGCCCAATGGCCATTGCTAGGCTAGATTCAAGCGAGTTCTGGTCTCTGGTGGTGCAGGCTTCCTAGGCTCGGCCCAAAGCCAGCAGTTGGCAATGTTAGCATAATTCAACACCCTTGTTTCATATTGTTTCTAATAGATACCAACCTGAAAAGACTCTCTTCTAGAGTGAGTGGTTTGTCAGCAAACAGCTCAGGACAATTCCGTGAAGTGCCGTTGCACAGCTCGTAAGTTTCCTTTGTTGCATGACCACACGAGGCTCGCACATTTGTCGGCGACTGCTTGCGGAGGGCCACGAGGTGATGTGCTTGGACAACTTCTTCACGTCGACCCGGTCTGGCAACATCTCAAAATTTCTGGCATCGTCAACATTGTTTGTGTGTCATCAATGACTGCAAAGGGTCAAAAAAAACAAGATGTTCAAGCTCCCGTAGGGGTAGCTGGCATATGCATAATTAGGGAAACATATACGTTGCATTTATACCATACATGCATTTATCCCATGCATGCATGCATGCTTCCATAAGCACTCAGACGCAATGTGGAGGCATCCTCGATAGGCAGATGTGTAACTATAATAGGCAAGAAAGCTCCAAGAAACTCAAATACCATTCACACATCCCGGGTTGTCCTTCCCTTGGGCTGAATTTAAGCATACAGTAAAGAACGCAGTACCGTGATGTGGGTTTGGACTGGGGCTTGTTTGGAAGATACCTTAACGAAGCCCTCCTTTCGCGAAAGGTTTAAGGTAATTAATTCATGTTACCTGTGGCTAGGTTCAATGCAGCTAAAACATGCTAAAACTGCTTCTGTGGTTCTGAGGTATTGCGGATTTGATGGGCCATCCTCGATTTGAGTTCATCCGCCATGACGTGACAGAGCCCTTCTTCTGTGAATGTGTTCCTGCCTGAGTGGATCCAGTCAACCACACACAGCACTAATGCACAAGAATGAAGTGTACAATGAGTATGAATGCAGGTAGACACGTACACCTATCTCTGTATGCATGCTGTTGCTACCGGAGGGAAAACCGCGCCAGCGTTTTTGATATTGGAAGCGGCGGGGTGGGGGGTGCTGCAGTGGGGGATGGACTGGGATGCTGAAGTTCACTGGAACTTGCACAATTGCACAATTGCATGTCATGCAGTCGATGCACTGGTGGTGAAGGATGGTAGGAGTTGGCTCTTGGATATCCGCTGGTTGTGGGCCCACAAGTGGGGCGGAGTGGGAGGGCACTAGAACTTGTGCCGATAGACAGAACGTGCTGTCAATTACTGGCACAGCTGTTCAATCGTCTGCTGTGCGCGGAGTCACTTGAAGAAGCTTAAGAACGGACAATCAGACAATGAACACATCGTTTCAGAGGAAATCCCACGGCCAGCAAGTTTTGTATCTACAGGGGACAGACATATGAGCAATGGCTTTCATTTGCGGACGTATACCGTGGAAAGAACGATTCTTAGGGTGGAAAAACTTTCGTTTACTCTCAGAATCAGTTTCAAAACGAGGTGTCCACCTGGAAAACAAGATAAATCCAAATTGAAGAGCTAGAAAGGATAAAAACCAAGTGTGGCGTTGGAAAACGGGGTCGGTGATCAAAACCGGGTCAATAGAAAGACAATTATATTGCATAAATAATATTAAATATACACATGTGCGAGCACATTTGTATATTATGTTTTGCTTCGAGATTACCTTGCAGGTGCGTACGTGTGTCTATTGTGCTTTTGTGTGGGTGAATGCAAAATAATGTAAAATAATGTAAATATGAGGACGACCACTCGCTTGTACACCCCGATTTTCACTCGCTTGTACACCCACTTTTTCCCTCGCTTGTAAACCCATGAAAATCATGATCATGAACATGGGGATCATCATCATCATCATCATCATCATCATCATCATCGCATCATCTCATCTACAGCACCACCATCACAATCAGCATCAGCATCAGCATCATCACCATCATCATCATCATCATCATCTCATCTACAGCATCACCATCACCATCACAATCAGCATCAGCATCAGCATCAGCGTCACCGTCATCATCATCATCATCATCATCAGCAGCATCATCACCATCATCATCGTCATCATCATCATCATCATCAACATCAACATCATCATCATCATCATCATCATCATCATCATCATCATCTTCAATAATTAAAGAAGGTTCACCTCAGTCATCCGTTGCGTGATTCTTTTTGTATGGACATCCGTTGCGTGGTGCGCGCGTGTCCATCATGTCGGTGTCTTGATTTGTTGAGCCGCCAAATGTGCGGGCTCGAGAATTAACTAGTCATGAAAGAGCAGTGACTGTGTCTGCACGAGAGCAGAAGCACGTTATTGACCCACCCCACCCCACCCCACCCCACGGTAACTGATCATGAAAGAGCAGTGCTTGTGTCTGAGAGCAGGAAAGATGACGAGGTTGCGGTGCCTGTGTGTGCACGGGAACGTGAGCGTTATTGTCCCAGCCTGCCCCACCCCACCGCACCCCACAGGTATCTGATCATGAAAGAGCAGCGTGCGCACAGGAACATGAACGTTATTGTCCCACCCCACCCCACCCCACCCCACCGGTATCTGATCATGAAAGAGCAGTGCTTGTGTCTGTACGAGAGCAGGAAAGATGATGAGGTTGCAGTGCCTGTGTGTGCACGGGAACGTGAGCGTTATTATCCCACCCCGCCCAACCGCACCCCACAGCGAACAATGATGAAAGTGCAGTGACTATGTCCAGAATGAGAGATGATGAGGGTGCGCAAGTGAGTGACGTTTTGTTCACTGGGTGCGCAAGTGAGTGAGGGTGCGCAAGTGAGTGAGGGTGCGCAAGTGAGTGAAATTTCGGGTGCGCAAGTGAGGGTCTGGCCTAAATATGAAAAACCATGAAACACCATGAAGCATACCAGCATACCATGTAGCACAATGCCGGATATAATCCTTACAGGTTTGCATGGTGCTGTTTGCAGCAGGCACGGCTTGCAAACGAATCTATAGGTGGATGGGTGCATCAGTTGCCCGTAACAATTCCCTTGTGGCAGAAAGGTGCAACTTGAGTTCAATCATGGTATGCCCTGCTATGCAAAATGTTTCTGGTGGTTTTGCGGTTGAAGTTAAAACTCCGGGCAGCTGTGTGCGGGTTTTGGGCACATGTTATCACAAGTTCCGGTTGAATCAGAGCTGTTTTATCACAGCCAAATGGATCCAAGGATCAGGTCTACAACATGGCGTGTCCAGCGTCCCCAGTGCACTACCAGTGGAATCCAATTAAAACCACCAAGGCCAGGGTGTAGACTGCGACCGGGAGAGTTTCACGACACTTGAACAGGACAGGGTAAAATCGGTAAAATGATGTGTCCACATGATGTGACATGTGAAGTGTACTTGGTCTTGGAGGGTAGCCCTATTTTGGAAGGTCACATGATGCTCATACTATGTTTGCTGGCATGGCTTTGAACATGTTCTCTTTTCACTTCCCTGAGGGTTTTGACTCTTCTGAGAGAAGTCTGAATGCTGAAGTGCTAGACATTCCTTCCTGGTGAAGGCGTTCACACTTTCATCCAGGTTGCAAACGTTGACATTTTGGTGTTTTTGTTCTCTCTATGCAGCAATATGATGTGATATAGTGAATTTGGAATGCATTTATAGTATTTTATAGACAAGGGCCAAGGGCCTTCCCCATTGCATTTCGACATGTCGATCTCCGGGCAGGTTTCAATTCTTGGCACCATGAATATGATGGGCCTGGCTAAGCGGGTCAAGGCTCGAATTCTCCAAGCCTCTACCAGCGAGATCTATGGCGACCCCGAGGCGTGTCCCCTTGCATTCCTCTGCATCTGATTCCTGAAGGCACAGAATTGTTTCATATTCTGAGTGGTGCGACAGCGACGTGTTCACCTGGGTCCTTGGATGTGTAATCCTCAGGATTTGGCTTGTGAGCATGCGTTGTGCGTTGAGGTGACTCCTCAAAGCGAGGAGTACTGGGGTCATGTCAATACTATCGGCGTCCGGTCGCTGGCCAAAAATTGCTGAAGTAAACGAGAGAGGCTTTGACAGGCGCTTTAAGAGAGTTTTTTACAGGCATGGTTACAATCGTTTAAGAAATGTTTAAGATGGGAATTGCATCTGTCTGCAAAGGTCGTGTTATGATGAGGGCAAGCGTGTATCAGAGACCTTGGCTTTTGACTATGTTCGCATGCAGAACGTGGATATCCGCGTGGCCCGAATTTTCAACACCTACGGGCCTGGCAGCTTTGAGGGAAGTCTAGAACCACAGCAGGATTCATAGAATTCCTTCCTTGCACTCGAGCCGTTGTGACCGTTGTGACCGTTGTGACCGTTGTGACCGTTGTGACCGTTGTGACCGTTGTGACCGTTGTGACCGTTGTGACCGTTGTGACCGTTGTGACCGTTGTGACCGTTGTGACCGTTGTGACCGTTGTGACCGTTGTGTTTGTTTTTAAAGATCCACATTCCGTATCATTTCGTTATGTTTGCACCTTCCGCATGAAAGAATGGCATAGAATGGCATAGAATGGCATAGAATGGCAACCATGCCGCTACAGCCTGAGGCATGCATCCCTATGACGGTCGGGTGGTCAGCAATTTCATCCTGCAGGCTTTGCAGGGAGAGGACTGTTTTCCCTTGAGAAAAAGGCAGCAAAGTCTCCCGTGAGGATGTGAATTTATTGAGAAAGAACATACCAGATGGCACAATACCTGGACATTTGCAGTCCATTTCTAATGAGCATGTAAGTATATGTAAGTATATGTAAGTTCTTGTTGGGCCGAGCCGGTGGCAGTTTGAAGCAATCGATCCTGGACGACTTTTGCCAGATTCTGCGTTCCTGTGAGGACATCACCGTCTATGGTGACGGTTCTCAAACCAGATCGTTTGGCTACGTCGACGACACTGTCGATGGACTGATTCGACTAATGAACCAAGTAGTAGCCTCAGCTTGTTCATCTTGTCCGATAGTGGACATGGTCATGCGGTCATGCGCTTGTTTGATAATTGTACCAATGGTACCACAGGTGCTGATGTGTCCGTGCGTAGTTCTCATGAGGATAAAACGATTGGTCCTGTGAACATTGGGAATCCACACGAGTTCACGGTGAAGGACAGTCAAGCTGCACATAGAAAGAACACCGTGCTGCACTGCTTGCATCGAGCAGTTAAAATCGAATTTAAGCCCAATGAAAGCTGCACTGGTTATTCATGTTGTTCGGGATGAAACAGATGCCTTCACTGTGGACACGAGATACCCGTGCCAATTTCCCCTATAGAATTGGGACACCAAGGTGGTGCTCGATAAAGCATTTTTTTAATACAGGATATCCAAAACTTGAGCTGCCCTTTTTGGCTTGTTTTGGTGGGCTCCAATTTTATTTTGGACCTGGGGGCCTGGGGGTTCTAATTATATATATATATATATTTGGTGCCTAAATTTAGTGAACCAGGGCTACAATTTTATATGAGGCTCCAATTCTATAGGGATATGTCGATTTTGTTCTAGTTGCTAATTTTGTAGTGCATCAAGGCTTCAAATGGCTACAGAATTGGAACCCCCTAAGATTCATGTTTCAACAAGTTGTAGGGTGCTATAAAATTTGGACCCTGGCGCGCAGCACATTGCAGGTAGGCAGCTACAAAATTGGAACCCTTTGGTGACCAAGTTTTTTCATGAAACCATGCCATGCTGCTACATCAGAGCGCTCAAGCATGTGCCATGCGAATGCTGGAGAAGAGAAAAACATGAAAACACATATAAAACTCATATATACATATATATACATTATTTAGTGGAAAAAAACATAAATAATATTTACCTGGAAAATCATCCAATTGGATCTAACTCGGATTTATTGGTTTATAATATGATATGGTAAAACAAAATACAATAAAGTATCATTGAGTTTAACAATATATATATATATATTTTACAAACATATAGTATAATCAGTATTAATATAGAAATAGGTCGATTTGGAGCTAGTACAGTTTTTCACATGACCTGGGTGTCCCAATTTTGTAGTGTTGTTGGGCTTGATGATATTGACGGGTTACTAGCAGGTTCTGAATTTATAGGGCTGATTGTGTATGTGTTTGCCAGGGCTTCAATTTTATAGATGGCCACTGAAGAGCATTTCCAAATTATACACTGGGTCCCCTATAAAATTGGGACACCCAGGTGAATGGGGTGAATTGGGAAGGGTATGACATGAGTGGGTATGCCTTCATTCAAAGCAAGCAGATTCAAGGCATGCAGCGATCAGCGGATACTTTTCATGAAACAAAGCTATTGTGTTTCAATATGTTTCAGTATGTTTATGTCATCATCAGCCACTCTCATGACTTTAATGTGGGACCTCACGTGTTTCTGTCCTGCGGCAGGAGCTTGCAGAGATGGTTGTGGAGCTGACCGGATCTAAAAGCAACTGGCCACAACTGGCCTTGATTTTGGCCTTGATTTTGAACTATTTTTGAATGGTCCGTTTCTACATTCTGAAATGTGCAGAATGTAGAGAAACAATTATGAGAACTTTGAACAACAATTAAAAAGCTGGAACTTTGAGGTCAGGTTCGCTAACAACAGTCCTGCAAACATGACATTCATGATTCAATCTAATCTAATCTAATTTTTTCGAATTTCTAATCAATATGTGGGGGGGACTCACAAGGAGCTTGCGGAATTTTCATAGTAGTATTGGCGTCTAGTGAGTCTAGTATTATAGTTCTTTTGGACCTCGTAGCAGGTCAAATATCGCTCATGCCACCACTGCCCATTGAAATCTGGGGTGCAAAGAGACCCAAACTCTGGAGACCAGCAGGCTAAGCACGCTTAGCGCAAAGCTGTTCTTGGAAACAGCAGGAACTCTCCCTGAGACAAGTCTGTAAGATTCTGTAAGGAAGTATCCCTTATTCAATACACTTCAATACGCGCAAGACCTGTTGAACTCTACTGGAAGGAAGGTGACATTCAGGCTTTGGGGCTTCGTATGGCTTCGTCCTTTTTGCCGGCACTGCAATGCGTCTTTGGCGTCTGAGTGAAAGCGTTGCAAGGATGGTGTTGTCACGTCCTGTCCGTCATTCTCTGTCTGTTCATGTTTGGATCCTTCTTTCAGCGGTGCCTACAATGCTTCTGGTGTCAAGCTTCTGGCCGTCCGGTGGTCTGCACTGCTTAGTCTCCTCACCTCTGCACTTCAACAAGGAACTGCGGAACTGGTTGCTCCATCTGTCCCCGCCTGTGAAGTTCGTAGGACAAAACAGAACATCTTTTGCATGGCTGAACTTGCCAAGGTGGTGCTAGTCCACGCAGGGATACAGATTTTAAAGAGAAGCATCAGTAGACGCAAGTATCCTATCCGTCCTATCCATATTACTGTGGAAATGATCTCCACATCACAGGGTAGCATTTGTCTAACTGAAGCCCAATGACTAGCCATTCTGCACAGCCAGCTACTTGTCAGTCGTACCATATGTATATATTATGTTATGTATATATATATATCTGTATATTATATATATATGTATATAAAATAAAGTAGCATTATATAGAATTATGTATATATATATAAATGTTTTTCGTTGATTGTCCCCTTGTCTGTTGACTTTGTGCATGGTTTCCTCTCTTGCCAGCTGTGATATTAGTGAAAACATTCTTTTTCAAAAGAAGGGCCTTGAATGTTTTCGTGATCAAATGCAATTGGATTCTTGTACAAAGTCTAGATTGTTCTGGCTGTTCTGGCCAGGCAAGATTGTCTACTTGCCTTTGCCTGGCGACGATCCAAAGCAGCGTCGACCGAACATCACAAGGGCCCAGAAATTGCTAGACTGGGAGCCCAAGGCCATGAAAGAGGGTAAGAATTCGGGTACTTTGAATTTCAGTTGTACTTCTCTGTGCATGATCACAGCGACGGCGAGTGGAAGGTAGAACTGCGAGAAGGCTTGCAGAAGACTATTGAGTACTTCAAGGCCGGCCTTCAATGTGAGAGCAAGGGCAGGAGCGGCGATTGATGTGTATAATTACTTACTCACTTCTCATTTTAGTTTGCGTTGCGGAGAATAGCTGCAGTTTGTACTCAACAGGGCCATGTTGATATGCCCTGCGAGCTTGAAGCTGCCTGTGCCTGTCATGGCTACCGGGCTGTTTCTCCATGACACGTGTTTCCTGAGTGCAAAGGCTCTGGACCTGAGGAAGTTCAGTAAACCAACAGCGCACAGCGCTCACCGCAACACTGTGGACGAGGAGAGGACCAGGGCGGGTGGCAGCAGTTGCAGCTTGAGACAGACAGGAGTATACAGAGAGCGAGAGAGAGAGAGAGAGAGAGAGCAAGGGAGGGAGTGGAGGGAGAGGGTCAGGGCCATGATGGGATTGTGGGAAGTCTTAACTAGGGTCTAAACTTCCCACTGCCACAGCCCAGCCTCGTCCAGACTGTTTCTTGGTCCCAGGCGAAAGTCAGGAAACGCTTGTCTTACGCCCTGGTGCCTGCGGAGTAATTCAGCTCTGCTTGCAGCCTGCCCCGCGCACTGGAGGAAAAAATGTCTGGAAGCCAGATGGACTACGATTGTTGAAAATTGTTGTGCATTGTTGGGGTTTTGTGGGCAGCGAGAAAAAATGGGCTGGAAGTGTACCAGGCGTGGACAAGCCATGCTGCTCTTGTCAGAGGCTGGAGGGGGTTAAAGAATTGATGAGATCAGAGAGGATTAGGTTAAGAAAGTTCGTTCAGTGGCAGTCTAGCCTTGTACAGCACCAGCACATACTGTTTGCCAGAATGGAACAGTGCAAAGTGTAAAGAGGATGAGAGGATGTGAAGAGGATGTGAGCTGATCATCAGCACAAATTGCTTGGTTGACATGAAGCTGAGATGTTTCTCGTTGTCATTTCTCCTCGCAACGCGGAACTTGTTGCGCTTTCGAGTTCTGTCAGGGCGAGCTACCGCAGCACTAGAGGCCCACCGTCGATGGCCCTGCAATGTATCTGCCTAGATGCATTAGGCAAAGGTGGCAAACGCCAATGTAAACACAATGCATACAATAACGATCAATAACGGAGAATTAATAAGAATGACCGCACAAACAATCATTCCCGCCAAATAAATGGACCGTGTGACATGTGTCTTCCAAAGACATTGTGCTTCCACCCTTCTCTTATGTGCAGAAGATTGTCTTTTGGTGGCATGCTTCATGTGCTTCATGTACCGACATAAGTTGCTCAGTCCCCGGACAGTTGATTCAAAGCATTTGTTTCGCTCAGGGGCAGATCATTGGGTCCCTTCAGTAACTGCAAGCATAGTACCACAGTATTTCAATTCCCCTTGGACAGATGCAACATGATGCAGCTCAAAGAAAACGTATCTAGCATTGTTTGCCCGGATTCGATTTTACTTGCTTGAGATTCCAGCTTGTCTCGTTTGCCTCTGAACTTTACGGAAAGCATTTGCAAACCGTGTTTCTGGTGAAATTGCACAAAAAGATGTCTTCATATACCTTTTCCGGGCATTGAACTACTGTAGGCTATCAACGGGCCGACTTGTATCAGAAGTTGTGAAGGGTTATGCAAATTGAATCATGCAAAATGAATGCGCAAGGCGATTCCAGTGTGGATCTTAGCACATGGGACCCGCCGTTGTCTTGATAAGCACCGAAATCTGGTTGCTGCAAAATTTGGCCCGCAAGTCTCAAGTCTCCTCCACGAAGTCGCTAGCAGCACCGTATTCTGAAATCGTTCTCATTGATTCATGCATTGAATTCTCTTCCTTGTGCATATCATTTGTTTTGCCCCAAAAAATCTGATTGGAGGTCTCTATGCCCTCAGACGAATCCAACGTGCCATGTTCTTCTCCCTGTGGACGTGCAAGAACCATCATTTTGTTGTTTCAAACCTTTGTATACCAATTGAACACGGACATATCAAAATGGCTCAGATTCTCTTCAAGTCAAAGACCAGACATTCCTGGTGGCCAGGTTTAGAGGTTGTTTCGGAGAGGGCCTCTTGAGGCAATTTTTGTGTTTTTGGCATGCGTTTGCTGCGATGGCAGCTGATGACAACTGACGCCCGAAGTCGCTCCAAACTCCATTTGATCCCGCCCAGAAGCTGCCAGAAGCTACCAGAAGCTGCTGAAACACAGCACTGAGGCATCGAAGCCAACACCTTTGCATGGTGCACTTGATGCCGGAGAGGCTGACCCGCAGAGAAAAGTGATGTCAGATAAAACTTGAAACAAATCTGTTAAAAACGACAGAAAAATTGTTTTGCAGAGGAGTTCAGCTGCCGGAATCGTGCCAGACCTGCTACGACAAGATTGCTCATTGGCGTGACCTCCAGGGAGACTCGCCAGCCCAGACCAGATTGAAGAGCTTGAAATTAGCTTGAAGCGAAAATAAGCGAAATATCTGGAGAGTTGCTTTCATAATCTTTCATAAGACATCATGAAATGGAATATTTGGATATGTTTGGAGTTGCTGTCATCCTGAAACATGTCCTTGTGACAATGTTGAATGATGAACTGGCTGCAGACAAGCCAGGTGTTTGACATACCACACACGGGGCTTCTGTCAGAGTCCTAGTGTCACTTCCAAGCTGTGTGGGACGGGGATACACTCTGTGTGGATTGTGTCCTGGTATCCTTCTGCCAGGTGATCGTGAAAACGGAGTCTTTTTTGGTTTCAAGACAGCACCGGCCTTGGACACTTCCTGGATTCCGGGGATGATGATTTGACACATTGGTCACATTCGACGCACTCCTCCCTGCAGTTTCCTCCTTTGAAACTTCGGCATTTGGGAATAGATTGGATGGGCAGACAAGGTGATCATGCTCCTGCATCGGATCGGAGACGACTCACCAAGCGACGTATGCTGCTACTGCGGAGGGGGCATCATCAAGGCAAACTTTTTCAGACCCGCATGAAAAGAGCGATTGCAACTAGCCTGGCAATCCCAAACAATCGCATTCTCAGTACCATGAGGGGAAAGAACACTTTAACAGACACGAACGTTTGTATCTGTGAGAGCGATACATTTTGTTTGCAAGAAGAGCCTGAGGTTTTGATTTTGAGTACTCAAATGAATTCAGATGGCTCAAATGCATTGAGTGTTGGCTTGCACATTCTTGCAACGCGTTGCAACGCGTACAGGAATGTGATGCTACCTGCCGCGCTGTGAAGCAGCATGAGGTGAGCAATGTCCAGTGCCAAGCTCAGCGCTGTCAACTTGGCGATTTCGCATTCCATTTCGATTTTGATTTGGCAACGTTGTTTGCTTTGGCTTCCATACCCTTAGATTGAGAGGTGCTGGTCAAGCTGAAATCTGTCACCGTATAATAATACGAATGCAGATTGAAGATCCAGAGAAAGCCTGTTTTGATACGATGCTTGGATCAGATTTGGATGATTTAAACATTGTTGGAATGTGTTCCAAGCTGTCCTCCTGCGTGATCACAATGGATACACACACATACATAGATAGATACTGTAGAGAGATAGGTAGGTAGGTAGGTAGGCAGGCAGGCAGGCAGGCAGGTAGGTAGATAGAGAGAGAGAGAGATAGATAGATAGATAGATAGAGAGAGAGAGAGAGATAGATAGATAGATAGATAGAGAGATAGCAAGATAGCTAGATAGACGATAGATGCATAGATAGATAGATAGACAGACAGACAGACAGACAGACAGACAGATAGATAGATAGACCAATGACAGAATGAATGAAATGAAATGACATGACATGAAATGAAATGAATGAATAAAAAAACAAACACAGATACATTCACACACACACACATGCCGTGGTTCAAGGTATGGCTTTGACGCCATGTCAGACGAGATGCGCTCGCCGCTCATGAGCCTGTATCGGATGATTGTTTGTGTGACAGATGGAGCAGAGGTTGGTGAAGGGAAGGCCAGAAATTGTACCATCAGGGGAGTGGCATGAGTTCGTAGCCAAAAATATCACAGGCAAAGCATCTTAGCCTTCGTCTCTTGTTACATTCCAAAGCATCGTAGCCGACTTTTCGTTCTGCAAGTTCTTGTTTTAATGGTGGGCCTGTGCATTGTGACTGTGATCTTTGCTGTCAACGATATCCGACTGAAATGACTGCAATGCATATAGTATATATATATACAGTATATACATGATATGACTTATTGGCAAAACATCAGCTCACATATCTGAGGCCATGAAGTTGCTGCCCTGGGGGCTTCAACCTTGACAAAAGTGGCTTTACTCTCAGTGGCACAGGGAAAAGACATAGCATGTTCCAATTTGAGTGGTCCCTCTCGGGTCGCTATATGTCTCTATTTTCTCTGGTGTGGCTGGTGTAGCTGCGATCCACTCCAAAGAAATCCATGGTAATCCGGCAATCCTGTAAAACTCCACGTCTCATAAGGCTCAAGAAATGAATGCGCCGCCGTCATGTTGGGCTGTTGGACAGTGAAAGCCAAAGAGACGTGTGACATAAGTCGAGTTACTCGAGTTCATGCGGAGTGATGTGAATCCCTGTGTAGCGGTAGCCAGTTCTCATCAGTTTCAATGCATTGCACCTTGCAGATCCAACGGTTTCCCCTTTTCTTATGACGCACAGTCAGAGAGTCGGAGCAATCACTGCTGAAGTCATAGCGCCTGGCAAAGTGGTGCGGGGCCAGGCTAGTCTTGGCAAGGCAGTGCAGCAACTGCATCAGAATAGCCAGATGCATCTGCAGGAGGACATCTCGATGCAGTTTTGTCACTTCGTGTCACACCTTTGACATCTTTTGACTCAGAGAATGAAGACTTTGCACGACTTTTGTGACATCCTCCATGGCACTTGTTGCAGTGGGGTACATGCAAAAACAAATTGCAATGGGAAATGCAGCGTCAGACCTTTCCGGAGAATCTGATAGAACTTTGTACAGAAGAATTTGTTTCTGATTTGTTTCTAGTTTCACCTTTGACAGGACCTTCGTACAGAAGAGAAAAACTTTGAGCAGCTCACGGAGCATACGGCTTGGACACCCAGGGAGCACACCGGGCAAGATAGGGTCTGGATGCTGTAACTCATTCGCCGATTGATCAGAAGATTTGGGACATTTTGGGACGAATTGAACAACACTGAAAATCAATAAGAATCTCTGACTTCAAAATCTTGAAACCATATAGACATATCATATGACATAATGGTATGATATGAGAAGTACATGATAACTCACGACAGCAAGCTGATAAAGACATGAGGTGATCACATTGTAGTGGTGCAAGTGCATATCTCAAGGGATGCTTTTATTTGTGAGCAACTTAGGAGCTGGAACCTAGCAAGGCCATTGCAGAATTGGTTCAAAACTCAGGTTGTGAAGCATTGTGCGGTTGAGCACTTCTGAAAGAAACATCTGAGAGCGAATTGTTTTTGGAACGTCTTGAGTCTTGAATAGGGAATAGAGATGAATAGGGTGCGTTGCCTTGCCACTGGAAAGCCGCTGCCTTATCAACTTCTGGAATCCAGAGAATGGACACTACATATTGCAGCCACAAAGACGTGATTTGTCGTAACCGACCAACGGCGACATCGTAAGGAAGCACTGGCAGCGAAGAATGTCGATGAGTGCCTGGCTGAGATCGTGAGAGTTTGGTAGCCAAAGATTTGGCCCAAGCCACTAAAGCTTGTACTGGCAACAATTTGTCGATCGGATGGTGGTCATACAGCTCATTTGTGAAGCATGCATGCCCAATATACATATCATGGTGGTGTGAAACACGTGAATGTCTCACAACAGAATTAGATGTGAATTGCGGACATAATTATGCCTATGTAAATTATACACATATATGTGTAATACATTTAATATATGATGTAATAATGCATATATATATATATACTATAATATTATATATAAGACACACACACACATACCTACCTACCTACCTACCTACAGACATACATACATACATACATACATACATACATACATACATACATACATACATACATACATACATACATACATACATACATACATACATACATACATACATACATACATACATACATACATACACATATACGTATACATATACATATACGTATACATATACATATACATATACATATACATACACATATACATACACATATACATAGACATATACTGTGTATATATATATACATACTGTATATATATATATTTCTAAATATGTATATAGTGTATATATATATAAGATAGAATAGATATATTGATTCAGCCCAAGACAATGTAAATCGTTTCATTCTCCAGAAGCTTGTAGGTTTGCCATGGTTTACTCAGTTGTCATCAGAGCAGAGTGGCTGATCTTGAGTTTTTCAAAGACTTGTTAGGTGTAGTCAGGTCATTGCCTTGTTCAGGTCATGCCAAATAATGACCAACATAGCTTCCTATCAGCACACCTCGCCTTTGGTCGTCTATTTTTCTTGGTACATTTGGTGCGTTGACAGATGTGATTTGGTGTGGCCAAGCGCTTATGAGGCAGCTTGAGAAGAGCCTCAAGAACGTGGACAGTGCCCCATGGTCAGAACTGGACTCCAAAGGTTGCCTCAAAATGCAATCGACTCAAGCCAATCGACTCAACTGTTGACTCCAACTTGCTTCACCAGTCCGTCAGGTCCGAGGACGGTGGGCCATAGAACATGGACCATTCATAGGCAATGAACCAACATAGCAAGCTCCATTTTTTTATCGTAATATATCGTAATCTTTTTTTGTGAGCAAAGCTTATTTCCAAGGGTGGATGTGACAAGATATGACTTCATTTCAATTAAAGCTCCATTGCCTTGCGTGCAGTGGAAGCTACATGAAGCTACGATAGATTACGATAGTATTGTGCTGGAATACTCCAATCCAGGCCCTTGTGTGGAAGATGGTGGTGCCATTCGAGACCTAGGATTTTTTACAAGACAACTGCTCAGGCCTTCCAGATTGCTTCGTACCAGTACCTTTACTATTCAAATATGTTCTGCTCCTTGGTCCCCTCTCCTACATCTCCCTTTTGTTGTGCACTTTTACCTACCTCACAGTCGATTGTTCATTTGTCATTTTTTGAAAGCTCATAGTTTTTGATCTCACGGTGTTGAATCTTGCATCCGCGCGGCCGCTGGCTCTGCTTTTTGGCTTGGGGCAAAAACAGATAAGGCCGGGTTGGGAAGCTTGCATGCTTTCGAGGAAGTTTGCCAACATTGAGCTGGGAAGCCGGTGCTGGAACTTTCCTTGGAATTCTCTGCAATTGTCTTTAGATTGTGCTATCGATGTTCGAGTAGCAGGGAACACTCAGTCTAGGTCCTCTAGGTCTTCCAATCATTGTCAATTTTGATCAATTTGGTCAGCTTGACTTATTCAAAGCCGCAAGGCGCCAACTGAACAAGCAGCTTGATTTTGTGACTTGGCGGCACACAGGGTGGCAGGACATCGCAGGATTGTCCGATAGCCCAAAAACCTTCTTCAACTCAGCACTTGTTTTTCAATTCAGCCAGAATCCCCGGTGGTGAATTGTTGCATCGTCAACTTCCTGCAGAACTTCGGTTTCGGGTCAGAGTTTTCAAGCAATTGCACTAATCAACATTGACAACAAAATGACAGACGAGTTGAACCAGTTCTATTTTTGGTGGTTCGATTCGGTGCATATCTCTGTTACTTCGGAAGAGCTCGGGACTGAGGAGTTTTACGGCCATGAAGCTGCTCGAGGCAATTGCTTTGTTTATTCAAAACATTCACATGGGATCAAACGGAGTCCGAAAGTCTGACCGGGACAATTTCTTCTGTGACTCTTCATGGTCTCTACGTTTTTTGTCGTTTTAGCTACTTGTGCCCAAAGAGAGGGAAATCAGTTTTATGATGTTTCATGAACATTTTAAGCTTGACATTTGGAATTTTAATTTCACAAGTTCCAAGGACCTCTACATGTCAATCCTCCTATGTTTCTACTGTGCTGTAGCAACCTGAGCTTTGTGATCTGTGCAGTGCCAGGATCTTGCCTCAAAGCTCGGTCTCAAGGAGCGACTTAAGGCTAAGAGCGACACATGTGGCATGTCACAGAGTCGCAGCGAAATCTTTGGTTCTAAAGTTTCTAAAGACCAAGCCTTGGCAGTGGCAAGTGGTTCACATTGGATGGTCTTGTTGCAGTATGCACTGATTGTACCGCACCATTATCATCTGGTTCAGTTTGGCACCAGCCCAGCCCAGAACACATGGAGACCAGTGACAGGACCTGATGACTTTGGCATTGCAAAAAACATTGGATCAAGCTTCTGAGAAAGCTTTGCAGCAAGCTTCCACTTACCAGCTGAGAACAAAATGATGGACGAGCTTGGGTCGTTTTGATTTGTACTATTGCCGGCAACATGCAAGTATCTTGTCAGACATATTGTGGATTCTTCATTGGATCGCACAGCACGACCGGCACGACCTGCACAAACAACTTAGATTCCCATTCTCCAAACAAAATGCCAGCACCCTCAAGTGATTTGGGCGATGCACCTTTGGGTAAAATTTTGCCAATGGAAGAAGCCCCAGCCAATCTCAGCCATCTCGTAAAAGAGCAGAGCAAAAACACATTGCTTTACCCCGGTGTGATGCGTTTGTTTTGATGGCTTCTGATGAACTGGTAGATGCTTGCCTTGAACACAGAGACCAGCTTCATGTTCGGAAAATACTCGAGTGGATCTTGATTTGAGACTCACAGATATTCTTGACTTGGTCCCTTGACTGTCCCTTGAACTCTCGAGTTAATGAGTGAAGTGGGAATAGTGGGAGTGGCTTCAAGTGATGGTTGAAGTGCTAGTTCAAGTCGTCAGTGACTTTGATCAGAGCATTTCAGAGCTGAGGAGGTCAGTGTGGCCAGCATCAGCGGCCAAAGCATTGCTCTCGTCTCCATACCTTTGACGGCTATCCTGGGTGAGCTGAGCAGCATGAAAGCAACATGGCATGGGGACAAAGACACGATAGACACGGTCATCCCATGGCATCGCAGTCTGTCACGTTGAATTGCCATGGCCTAGGTGAACTGAAAGAAAAGATTCAACGGGAAGAGGGCACACACAAACTTCAGCAGCAACTGTTGCAACCAGGCTGGATCAGCAAGTGGATCGAATTTCAAGCAGCCAGTCGCCTCTTTCCAGATGTAGTTTCTTCTCACAAGGTGACTTCACAAAGCTCAGCAATACTCAATGCATTGCCGAGCTCTGTCATCCCTGCGCCAATTGTTCTGAAGCTGCAAGCTCAGCGACGCCCGTAAGCTGCGCACTGTCTGAATGTTTGAAGAAATCCTGGGAACTTTCCCATAGTGTTGGGCCGAACACAGGCCAAACGCACAATCGAATTGCTCGGTCTTTCAAGATAGTTAAAATAGTTAAACATCTCATTAAATTTATATTCCACGTGAACAAGTGCTGCCTCAAGTGTGGAACACAGTTCAAGAACAAGAGAATGATAAGCCACAATTCCGGCTTGGCTTATCTTGACCGCATGATTTCTTGACGGGTCACAGAAAACACATGGCTTACATTGACGCCAGGTCCAGCGGACAACAAGCTGGATCTCATCTTGGTACGCAACGCCAACTTCTTTGCTAGTGAAAAGTTTGAGGGCCCAATGGAAGGCTCGGCTTGAAATCAAAGTTGTCCAACATGTTCCATGATAGTCATGACGGTCTAACAATCTAATCATAAAGTCTGTGACAGCCACGAATTGCTGCCAAAAAGAAATGGATACCTTTTGGCTCACCTCTTCGTTAAGGTACAACTAGTCACTAGTCTCCGTGTTTTGAATCGCTTTTATTTACCTTCTCAATCATGCTGAGGAAGCAGAGCAAGATAAGAAACTGTGAAACTTGGAAACGCAACGTGACAAACTGTCCTTGACAGACTTCTTTCCTCATTTTTGCTTGTTCGAATTCCTCGCCAGGCTACGCATTTAAAATGGGTGAAGAAGGGCTTGGATACTACAATGATGAGCCCCTCGAAGCTGCAAGTTGTGGTAGTTTCCCAGTGTTGGGAGCCCTCAGGATCACGATCAGACATGATCAGACCTGAACGTGTAAAAGCACTGGGAAAGGAAGTCTGTTGGAAGGTCTGTTGGAAGGTCCGTTAGAAGGGTTTGGTCTTGCCTCTTGGATCCTCTTGGGCTCCATTCAAGCATCGCTGAATTAAAAGGTAACACTTCTTCTTGATTGTTTGCAATGGTTTCGTTTTTAGATTGAAATACGTTGTAGGCTGACATGTTTGTCTTGCGTTTGTGTACCAGGTATCAGCGGGAAGAAGGAGCGGATTATGGGCAAATCATTTCGATATCAGCACAAGAGCACCCAAGAATGCCCAAGATTTCTGTATGCTAGGCCTGCTAGGCTATGCTGGGTATTGCCAGGTGATGAACTCACAGTTGGAGAAGTTGGAATCAGACAAGCATCAAAGCCATCTTCTTTTAACTCTGAGTCATTGTAGGGAAACAAGATGAAACAAGCCTTTCGTATTTTTAACTTTGACACGCACAGACCTCAAAGGTATTATTTTTATTTATTTTTTTAGGTGTACGGCATGCATGCTTAGTTGTACTGTTGTGCTTGGATATTGATGTCGAGCATTCCTGGACTTCGAAGTATAAACTTCTGATCCTTAGCCTTTCGAACATCAAGCCAGTGAAATGCGACCAAATTGGATGCCCAACAACAGAATGATTTTGAACACATCACAAAACTGTTCTCCAGTTCTCCCCTCTCAGCTTGCCTCCTTGGAATGCAAAGGATTTGATCACGCCATTCCCTGATCCAACGACAACAGATCCTTTGAACTTCTCAGTTTATCAACCAGGTGGTTTGGATCATTTGCTTCGCACGACCTCCGATTCAATTTCAACACGCGCATGTGTACCAGTGTACCTGGTGGCTTTTGGTCGGACTTCACAGCGTGACATAAGAAACTTGCAAAAGATGAATGCTCCATCATGCTCCTAAATGCACAACAAGTGATTTTCAAAATAAGAAACGCCGTTTTGTGCAAAAATGTGCAAGAGTAAATGGCACAGGCCCTTCAGGCTCCCGTATCAAAAAAACACATTCCACGTGCTCCTGAAGCATCACTACAGAACCAAAAGATGTGAGTCGCAAAGGAAGTAAAAAGCACGAACCACAACACATCACAACACTCTGAACCCATCTTGGTTGTTTCCATTTGTTTCCATTTTGTCAATTGGATTCAATTGGCCCAAACGCTCGGTGGCCAACACAGAGCTGAACGGAGGACCCAAAGCAGACCCTTGGGATGGTCTTTGGCAATTTACAGAAAGAGCTCGTGGTGTACATCATGCCACACCCCGGACAGTGATCATTGCCAGGCAGGACAAAGGATCTGAACTTGGCAGAAGAAGCACAGATCAGGATCATTTTTTTTTAGATCATGAAGTCGAGATAAAAGGGAACTGCATGATATGTTGCGTAGGCTGGACTCGAGCCTTTATTCCACCAATGCATCACGAGGAATCTGAGACTCTCTTTCAAAGCCTAGGCTGATCATGTGTGTTTTGAGTGCAGCATCGGCGCGTAGGCACTTGTTGATTTTTAGGCGTAGGCAAGATTGCGTAGGCTGAGCTGCAAGCAGCTGGCTGCTCCATTTGCGGTCAAAAAACTTCGTAGGCGCTCGCGTAGGCGTTTTTTTTGACATGTGCATCCGCGTAGGCTACCTTCCACACGGCGTAGGCCGGTGTACACACTGCGTAGGTACCCCAAGTTAGTGTATACTTGCAGGACCTAAGCATCCAAATTAAAGGACCGGATAACCCCACATGTCAACTTCTTCCAACAAGCTCAAAACAGGTGTGAAAATGGGATGGGGAAGACAGATTGTGTGAAAGAACTGTGGGTGATAGAGCTGTGTGTGAAAGAGTTGTGTGTGAAAGTGCTGTGTGTGACAAGGAAAGGTTGTGTGTGACAATGTTGTATGTGAAAGAGTTGTGTATGAAAGAGTTGTGTGTAGAAGGGTTTTTGTGTGAAAGGCTGTGTGTAAAAGAGTTGCGTGTGACAATTTGCGTGTGAAAGAATTGTGTGTGAAAGGTTGTGCGTGGAAGAGTTGTGTGTGGAAGCTTGTGTGTTCAAGCTTGTTGTGTGTCTGTGTGTGAAAGCGTTGTGTGTATGTGTGTGTGTGTGGAAGTTTGTGTGTTCAAGTTCGTGAAAGAGATGTGAGTGACTCATACAAAGTTGCGCGTGAAAGAACTGTGTGTTCAAGTTTGTGTGAAAGAGTTGTGTGTGGGTGTGTGTTGTGTATGAAAGCGTTGTGTGTAGATGTGTGTATGTGTTCAAGTTTGTGTGTGAAAGGAGTACGTATGTTTAAAAGAGATGTGTGTTCAAGGTTGTGTGTTCGAGAGGTGTGCCACGCAAAACGAAGGTGGATGTCGCCAAGTGCCACGCCTGCCACGCCAAGTGCCACGCCTGCCACGCAAAGTGCCGCGGGCGCCCCGGGCAAAAAAAAGGGTAGCAACCGCGCCACCAGAGCCAGCCCAGTGCCATAAGTTCCACACAAAGAGGGGGCGGAGGCGGCGGAGGTGGCGGGATGGAGGCGGGACGGATACAGAATCAAAATCAAGAGCCCCACACAAAGATGTGGGGGAAAAACACAAAAAGCACTGCTCAGATGGAAACTGAAAAGATGCAACGCAAACACCAAGACACACACACACACTTATGTATGCGTATACATATTACATATGCGCATGTATGTAGAATTATGTAGACATTCATGTATTATTACATTATACATCGCAGGTATGCAATAACATTCTAATCACATCGTACCACATCACATCACATCATATCGCATGGCATTGCGTGGCATCCCATTCTTCACTACGTCATTTTATGCTACGGCATATCTTGGAAAACGAGTGCTGCGAGCTCATGCAAGCTCTCCAGTGCCTTCTTATTGTAACCTTTCTTCATCTACTGGCATTTCCATGTATTTCCTGTGTCGTTTATGTGACCTTTGGCAGGGGCAAAGTTTATTGGGGCACTGACTTCCAGAAACACATTGTCGGTGGAGTCTCCGACCTTCAGCGAATCGATGAGACGCGCTTTTCCGTTTCAGCAAAAGAAGGTCTTCGATTTGCGACGCTCGAGAGTTTCCAGCTCCTGCGTTGGGACACACATCCTGAGGCCAAGCGGGCCAAACTCAAGATCATTTCCTATTAGTTCGGTATATTTCGGTCATTTATATTTGTTTGTGATTTTCTCATATTTTCTCCACACATTTGTGATTTTGCTGATTTCATTGCTGGTGGCTCGTACGTTCATTCGCATCATTATTGTCATGTGAATTTGCAAAACATGTTCGAAAATTCACAAGTTCCATGCAAGCGCCTTGCACAATTTCCATGGCCAGGCATCATTCCCCAATGATTGGACTCGCCTCATGTAAGCTGAAAAGGGCGACAGTGCGGAATGAGCAGTTACAGCATTATGCTGCATGATTTGCCATCCATTGTGTCGCTTTTTCATTGAATTGCGTCGTGCGCAATGGCCAAGTAAGCCATCTTTCGCTGCAATCCTTACTTTTCCTACATTTTGATAGTGTCCTTGCACAGTCCCTGCACATCATGAGTCATGGAAGCACATTGGATGCCTGACCGCATTCATTCTGACATGGTGTATTTAGATAGCCACGGTCTTTGAACAATAGGGGCAGAGAGATCAGATAGTCAGCTAGGTTTTCTGTCTGCGAGGACTTGAACTCTTATATCTTTGATTGCCTGTGCTTGGCCTGATTTGGGTTCTATGCGCTTGCTTGCGTCATTCCCAGTTTCAACCCAAAGATGGCGAGGACCCCAAGTACTTGCTCGTGATTGCTGGGGGTGTCGCTGCAGTTGGTGTGTTGGCAACACTGCCCCGTCTTAAACGCTGTGGCGAGCACTCTGAGATGAATGGGGTGGGCCGGGGTATGTTGCAGTGTTGGGAACGCAGACGTGCTTGTCGCTGATGACCGCTTGAAGTGATTATGAAGGAAAGGGAAGACAAAAGTGGTTTTGAACAACCATGAAAAACCTTATTTGACGTTCAAAGCGGGTCGCCTACACCATGTTCTTTCCATTTCTTTCCTGTAAAAACTGCTGGTTGCAGACTCCAGTCTGGAAAGTGGCACCCAATCAGGCTCCCTCTTCCTCAAACTGAGCAAGATGCTTTTCTACTCAGACAATTTAAGACATCCTGCTCAATCCTGGGCACTCCCCTTGTGCTAATTGCCTTCATCAGCGGCTTCTGGACTCCAACCCGGGCAAACCGCTACACTTGTTGTCCGACTTTTGTTGGAATCATGTTCATGCCGCCAGGTCTTGGCCTCCAGCAAAACCTCTGGCAGCTCCAAGCCTCGGAAGGTGCAAAGATCATGGTATGAAATGGAATGACATGGTATGACACTATACATCGATATTTTCGACAAAATCGACAACATAGTCATACTGTATGCAGTATGCATCTTTATGGACAACTGGCACTTTTGAAGATGTGAAACTATGAGAAGTTTGGTCTCTCCAGTGCCCCTCAAAAGGACCTGGTTGGGCCAGTAGATGAGCGGAATGTGACTTATTGTAGAATGATGTAGAATGATGTAGAATGCACAGCACAACTTGGCAAACATCCTACCCATTTCTGTGCACTTCCTCACCTTTCTCCACACCTTTTTACTGTTCAAGGAGAAGTTGGCACTAGACTCCAAGGAGGGCTTGCTGCAGACCCTGCAAGAGCTGTCGAACCAACAGGCTGGAGACCCAGCTGGATCATACTGGAATCATACCGGATCCATTGATTTTCTCGCTCTTTTGAAACTCTTTCCCTTCGAAATCCAACAATTGTGAATCATTTCTGGGAAACAATGCCAGGAGACTAGCAAGTGCTAGCCACGTGATGCTGTCGCTACAGAAGGAGTATGTAACATATTATTTGATCATGGCATGCAAGATGTTTGGGAATTAGTGTTGTCCAATGAACATCCGCAGCGTCCTGGTTCAGTGTCACCGCAACTGATTTTGTTGCGCGCGATGCGAGCACGAGGGGTTTGCTGTCGCCGCTTGCGCAACGCGCTCCACTCGAATTTCCCACAATTGCAGCAGAGGTTTTCTTCGCCAAGGCCAGGTGCACCCCCGTGATGTCATTGCAAGATATTGAAAGATATTGTAGCAGAATTGTAGTAAGATATGTTAAGATATTTCAAGATATTTTAAGATTGGATGCCTGTGTGATCCTGGGTGATTGTTATCCTATTACTATGAAGCTGCTTCAATATCTCTTTGCAGGACACTTTCCAGGGCCCTCTGGCGAATGCACAATAACTAGAGGTTCAATAATACTCCGGCACCGGTGCCTACAGTTCAGGTGAAACAATGAGACTTTCCTGCCTGGTCGGGCATTGTATTTGGTCTGTCTATGTGACAGAACGACGATCCTCCAATTTAGTAGCCACGAGTAGTCAGAAGCGATTCCAAAGCAAAGGCAAAAAGTATCAGGAAAGACGACTGCCTTGACAAAGAAGAAGAGCCTCATGTAACAATATATATATATATATTTATACATATATATATATATACACATCATTATAATTATATATGTATATATATATATATTGAATTATATATATGTATACAGATAATATAGCAGGGAAATTTAGGATGGGCTTCCTACAACGGTGCTACTAAAGACCCTATTTCCGAGCAAGATGCATAAAACATAAAGGCCATCACAGGATATTTTGAAAGGCACGGGTTATTGATCGAACCTACTTTTTGAATGACGGCTGGCCGGGGCACGGTCTTTCTGAAAAAGCCATGGCTACATGGAACTTCTTGTCGTGGGGTTTGCCGGTAGAGCCCTCTAAGCAAACAATGCATGTCGCATAGGCAACGCTGTTTCTTGTTTGGAGAAATTTAGGATGCGCATTCACATTGACATGTAGATCAGGAGCAAGCTGGAAACACAACAAAGCGCGGCACTACCGGCCACCACACGACTCAAAGCCTGAGGCAAAACTTGCAAGCAAAGAGGACTTTACAGTGGATCCAATGGTCTATATGGAGGAAGCAGAAATCTCTCATGTGTTTTCCTCAATAATTTGTTTGTGTTCTCATGCCAGTATGACAGATCATACTTTAAGTAGAGCACATCTGGAAAGTGCATACTGCACAAGGTCCATTCGTACCGAAAACAAGTGCACCAGATCGGGAACGCAGAGTCAAGTCTAGAATTTGCATCAAGATCACACATGTGATGATCTGGTGATCAATGAAAAGCTGCAAGCATTGATAGCATTGCTGCGAGGAACTGTGATCCCATGCAAAACTGTCACATCTGTCATAGTAGAACTGTAAGGCGACATAGAGCAGTCACTAGAGCGACATAGAGCGACATTCATTGTGAGATCTCGCCATTTTACGATTGCGGCCTAATGCCTGTGCAGCTCGGTCCTCACGGGCAAGATTGCTTGCGTTGTGAAAGAAGCCGATGAAGTTGCGGCGCTGTGCCCCAGCGTGTGAATTTGCGGCCGTGAGACATCAGCACTCTTTGTTTAATTTTGTTTATCTGACTATCTTTGATGACACCTGCAACACGCATACACATACACACACACAAACACAGACACACACACACAGAGGGACACACACACACACACAGACACAGACACACACACAGACACAGACACACACACACATGCTCAGAACAGTCGTTGCGAATTCGGTTGTGGAGTGCATCTTACGTGCAAAAAACACCAACAATAAAATGACAAGATGAATATACATATAAATATAGACGTATAATCACGGTAGAGGTTGACCATATAAAGCAGCAGCGATGAAATATATGTCCCCCCCAGCTGCGACTTATATGCGCCCAGGGGCGGGACAATATATATATATATATAATACAAGTACGTTTTCACAGGTACCCAGGGGTGTCTTCGTTGGCCACCGACCCCCTGGGACCCCAGTGGCCGCCTGCAACATAACGAAGTTTTACATCAGATGGTACACGCGCACACACATGCCCCGCAGCAGCGGGGCAGATGATGAAAGGGAAATGAAAGTGAGATGACAATGAAAATGGCATGACAGCTGCTCAACTGGGACGCGAGACGGGGAATGCAAAAGAAGAAAGGAAAAAAGGAGAAAACACCAACACCAACACACCTAGCCCAGAGCGGGCAAACCCTGAAAGGGCAAGGGAAAAGAACAAGCGGACGGACGACGGACCAAACACCGACCCGAGGAGGGGGGCGGGGAGAAGCGCCTGACACAACCTACAAGGCAAGAGCCAAACCTACCTCGGCACGCGAAGGACCCAAACCTGACCTAACACGGGAGCACACATGAGATAGGGGACCAATGGGGACCTAGTTAAAAACAAATGATGCATCCACAATAATTATAATGCAGGACCCCCTCGTCAGGCACAATGGCCTAGTTTCAAGTCAACCCTATAAACGGCTGAAGTAGTCAACCCTTCGAATTGGTGCACAATTGAACCTCACCAGAGACCACGAAGAGAAAGAATACCACACCTAAAGTCATGAACCTGCCTGGAGATTCCATCATGTTGCACTTGCTGATACAAGTCTGTCACACGCTCGAGCAACGTTGAAAAAAGGTTGTTGTCGCAGCGTACAGCTACAGAACCCTTGAGCCGCAAAAAGAAGTGAGTCCCCGGGCAACTGTTCAACACTCGACCGATGGGTCGAAAACTGAAAAAATGAACGACTGTTCCACCTGACCTAGACGGATTACTAAGTTGAAAATTGTAAATTCAGAGGCCGAGTCGGAGGATCAAATTTCCTACGTAGAAAGGTATTCCCGATTCCCCGAAGGGGTCATGCCACCTTGACGAATCCAGAATGAGTCACACTTGCTCAGAACAGTCGTTGCGAATTCGGTTGTGGAGTGCATCTTACGTGCAAAAAACACCAACAATAAAATGACAAGATGAATATACATATAAATATAGACGTATAATCACAGTAGAGGTTGACCCCCCCAGCTGCGACTTATATGCGCCCACGGGTGGGACAATCAAAGAAAGCAGGTACGTTTTAACAGGTACCCAGGGGGTGTCTTCGTTGGCGGCTACCGACCCCCTGGGACCCCGGTGGCCCCCTGCAACATAGCGAAGGTTTACATCTCTACAGATGGTGTACACACACACATACTTGAGTTGGCCTAGTTTGACAACCGGCAAATATGTCTCTATCATCAGTCAATGCAGGTCGGATAGAATTTTAGCTGGCAAGGTACACAAAATGGGGCAGCGACACCTACGATGATGACGTTTCTAGCTGCACTGAAATCAGCTGGGCTGGAGCCCAGAGTCTCAAATCTTTGTTGCTTCATCTGTCAGGACTCAGGCTCAGGATTTGTATGGCGTGGTCGTTGAGGGAGGAAAATGGATGCTGTTTGATGGCTAGGCCCCTGACCATGGATGGAGTGATAACCCGATGGGCAAATTGATTCATCTGGCTATGATGGTTGGGCAGTGGGGGTCCAAAGGCACACCTTTGGGTTTTGCGGCAGATAAGGCATGAAATGCAGACACTCACACACTTTCCAAACGATTCTCCAAGTACAGGTTCTTCATGGTTTTTGCTGCTATCAATGTGTCCTAAAACTCCTATGAGAACAGGATCAGCATGGACAACATGAACGTGCTTTGAGCATGAACGAACATATGTTCACAAGTGCAAAAAGAATGGTGCTTCTGCAAGCATCAGTTCAAGGTCAGTGCCACGCAAGGGATGTTTTTCCTTTATGTTTGTTTATTTCTCTTTAGGTGCTAGAATCTAAGGCCTTTGGAACCGTTTGGTACGCCCTCTCACCTCTCAAACTGATCACCAAAGGTTCACAAGTGGGGCTATCAGCTTCCCGACTTGGCTGTGAACTATGCCAAATCCATCATTGCAAAAAATGTGTTCGAGGCGCCAGGGCAGGGTTGACTTGGCCGTCAGGTAGTGGAGGAATCTGGAAGATGAAATGACCAGATGCATCCAGATGCATTTTCGTTTTTTTGAGATAATTGGGTTTAGGGTTTAGGGTTTAGGGTCTTGGAGTTGTACTGAAGAATTGTCTCTCAGCGATTCTCCAGGGCACGCGAATGCTTGATGCTGGTGCCGGCACCGGCCTGTTGTCGCATTGCTTGAAGGAGACACTGCGACCACATGGGAAGCGCTGTAAGAAATATCTTCGCTGCTGACAAGTTCCACTTTTTCAATTGAAGTTGCAAAGTGAAATCACTCCTGATTTCCACAAGGTCAGATTTTGAAGATACTCTAACGACAAAACATGACAAGACATGATGAAACCATCTCAAGATATCTCAAGATATCTCAAGTGAATGTGAAATGCAGAGTGGCTTGTGGGCCTGGAGGATGCAGGTGTCAAGGAGGCTACTGCCATCGACATCAGCCCAGAGATGCTTTCCAAAGCAATGCGATCTGGCTTCTACTCCTGTTGCAAGGCAGGTGATAAAAAGAAAGGAATACATACATGAGATACATGAGATACTATGATACTCATAGTGTAGATATGTGTAGATTTAATAGATATCCATAGATATCCATTGAATTGAGGGTATAAACGTTTTCATATGTTTCCAAGACGATATTGTGAGCCCAGCAGCTTCGATTCGGCCGGGAGGCTTCAGTAGAATTGTTGATGAATAATATGACAAGACATGATGCCACCTTTCTCTACATGGCTAGACATTTATTTGACCGATATAATGGTGCCTGGATGGTCTTCTAAAAATGCCCATGTCATGAAATGACAGTGGTTTTGGGTTGCATTTTGTTCTCCTTTCTGCCCTCAGCCTGTAGCACTACAAATGGCTGGCTGTACATTTTTTAAACATTTGGTTTTGATTTCACCAATCCAAATTGTGTGTTCAGTTCAGAACACAGACTATTACAAGAAGCTGCTTGCAACCATTCCCAAAAATGCATCAGTTCTCAATATCCAAGGGAACTGTTGGGACTTTGCGAGTGGCCAGTGTGGGCAATAGACCCTTTTACTATCCTGTTAACTGTTAAAGTTTGTCACACCCAGCTCCTTTATTTAAGGTTTGTTTGCAGACGCTCGTGGAATTTCCAGTTTCGCAGCCAGGTGGTGGACCTTAAAAAAAGTTTTGGATTCGCAGACAATGCGTTTGACGTTAGTTTGTGCCTTGGAACACTCACTTACATGGAGCCAGCAGCCCGGCTGCAGATAATCCTAGAATCCTATGTTTCAGATTGCGGCGATTCTTTTTTGTTCCCAATAAATCATTAGATTTGGCATGACTTCGCATAGCAGAGCAGAATCTAAGGCTGATGACACCATTGCAGAGCTTTGTCGAGTGACAAGAGTTGGTGGCTATGTGATTTTCAGCATGAGGACGATTAGGGGTGTCGTTGACGCGGCCACACATTCTGGGTGTAAAGGGAAAGCTGAAAAAACATCTGAAGAATTCTGAAAAGAACTCAGAGAAACCAGTAGACCTCTGTCCAGCTTGGGCCTTGGGGGAGAAAGCAGAGGATAATACACAAGGCACATATGGATAATTATAATTATGGCATATATCGGGACCGGGACCACCATAAGAACGAGGAACCGTGTCTTCTTTTTTGTTTGTTTGCCCGCTTAGCCGTTTGTTTTGCTCATTTGATGGATTGGTTTCTTGGTTCCCTTATTTATCTATTTCTGTTTGGCTGTTTTACAAAACTTTTGAGTGGTGGTTAATTACTTAAATGATCCACTGCTTGGTTGGTTGGATGATAATTTGTTTTTTTTTCTGCTTAATTGATCGGTTGGTTGTTTCTTGTGTGATTAAGTGGCTGAGCGATAGACCATTTCAGTGAAGATGATTTGACTCATAGAGCGAGACGAGGAAATATTGAGTTGTCCAGCAGTGTACTACAAAAGCACTACGAGTGTACTGAAGCATGTCAAAGTTTATGACAATGGACTCAGCATATTGTTGCCTGCTAGACTGTACTTCAAAGTGATTCAAAGTGCCACAGCGTGCTACATTGACATCTATCATTAGCAGGCTCTGGAACTATAACAGTAGGGCAGGGCCATTTGCGACTTGAAATCGTGCAAGCACGAAATTTGAATCTGGAACCTACCCGGGAAACTTCCAGAAACTTCAAATTTCGACCAAATGTTCCCGGTCATTTCGATGTCAGAGGGGCCCACCTGCAGCAGCATTCGCATACCTGGCATACTTGATTCATTTTTCATTCTATCCATCCCTGTGGCGACAGCATCACGCCATACCTTCGTTGCCTTTTTCTTTTTTTTTGTGTGTGTGAACTCAGCGTTTGGCATTTGTTTACACTACCGGCCTGTGTCTACTTTGCACTGATACTTCATGATACTTCACTATCGATTAATTAGCTGCAAGCCACAGTGCCCGAGGATTAGGTTCCAGTACCTTTGCCTTTAATGTGTGATGATTTAACATTTGGCTCTGCAAACGTCAGCTATCAGTTGTTTGCTACTTCTTTTGTTTTACTCTGTCTACTCAGCAACCCACGTCATGTGTCCACGTTTCTCTCAACACTTGAACTTGGTTGGGAACTAAGATATCATAGTGAAACCATCCTAATTAGTTCGCAGTGTTGATTACAAATTCAAATTCAAACCACCAGTCAGATGTTCCGAAGCATTTCGTACTGGCCTGCAGAACCGACCTTTGCGAAAAGTGGGAGGGCGCTCTTCAAAACTTCGTTGATAAGAAAATCTGGGCTCACATGGGCACTAGCGAAGGCTTCGATTATTTACCAGTGCCTTGGCATGTATTGGTTTGTGAACCCTCGTTGAACGCTTTCCATATCAGATTCATCACGTTCCAGTCCTGGTTTCGCCCTGCTGGGGAAGGCAACCGCGAACTTAGCGCAGCGTGGAGCTGTTTACATTGGCAGACGTCAGTTAAAGTGCAGCGAAAATCTATAGATAGTAAAATTCTGGACAATTTAGATTCTGGAAGCCTGGAAAGTCTGTAAGAGTCTTGCTGCAGATCTGGATTTGTTTGTCTCTGGCAATCCCTTGTTGTTAGCACCCAACCATGCACCACCACTGGGCCTGCCCTCAACACAAGGCCAATCCGGAGTACGGACAAAATATTTTGGTGAAAGTTTACATCTACAAGACCTTGCAGTAAGACCTGGCGATCGAAATGAAGATCGCCAAAGATGCATATCGAGGCGTCGAAGGCGAAACGCTGGGCAACACGCCCAGTACATCCCAGTACTTGAAGCATTTGAAGCCAAACTGGTTTAACCGTTTAACCTCTTTGTTTTGGCGATGTAGAAACCATTTCTGCATCAGTGCTTGAGCCGGAAAAACCACGGAGACCGCTTGCAGCGTGCCAAGTATGAATGGTACTTCTAACAGAACGCACTATTGGTGGACTCTCTGATGGACTTTGTCATGACATTTTGTCTTTGTTTTCCAACATGAGCGCAGGGAAACAGAGTTGTCTTCAGATGCCTTTCCCTACGTTCAGCTGAAAATAGCTGTGAGCCCTTAGCAGAATTGGACATTCACATGAAACTGAGGCACAGATGCGGAACCAGCTGAAAAAGCTCACAGATGAGGCCACAAAACTGGAAGGGGCGGTTGAGA